CCCAGCTCTGCGGGGTGAAGTCGACAAGCACAGGGGCCACCTTCCCGCTCATCCTAAAGCTCATCTCCCCACCCAGCAAGAAAGCCGGCACCGAGGATGAGGGCCACCTGCGCAAGATGCTGAGCTACGAGGTCGAGCAGTGCTTCTACAGCGAGGTGGTGCCGCGGCTGGGCGACGAGATCGGCGTGGCCCAGTGTCTGGCCTCGACCCGCGACATGGCCGGTAAGCCTGGCGAGGACGAGCTCCGGCGGCTCATGGCCACTGTCATGGTGGATCTGCGGCCCGCGTTTCCGGTGGCTGGGGGCAAGAGGAGTTCTCTGAGCACTAGGCAGGTGCGTGCGGCGCTGGACTGGCTGGCTGGGTTTCACGGTCGCTCGTGGGCGTTGTTGCCGGGTAGCAGGGATGAATTGGTGCTGCCGCCGCTTGAGGAAGCGAAGAGGCGGCGGCAGAGCAGGAGTGAAAAAGGTGGTAGCGGGTTGTGGCTGAATGGTGGCTATACGTACCTTGCTACCCGGCGGAAAGAGTATGCTTCTCTTGTCGATGATACCGACTCGGAGTGGTCCGAGGCGCTGTGCAGCGCACCGGAAGGATTTTCCATGTCTGTGGCTGAGATGGTGGCGTTGGTGTTGACGCCCTCTGGGAGGCCGATGGAGTCCTATATCCATGGGGATGTGAAGTCGGAGAACCTGTTCACGTCGGACAGTGGGGAGCGCGTCGCGTTCTTTGACTTCCAGTACGTCGGGCTGGGCCTCGGGGTGTGCGATCTCGCCAAGTTGTTCACATGCTCGGTCCCGCTCGACATGCTGGTCGAGGACGAGGATTATCTGCCCGAGCAGTTGCCGATGCAGGATGGGGAGAGAAGCCTGCTGGAGGGGTATCGCGCGCGGCTCCTCCAGGGTCAGCAGGCGGACGTGTATCCGTGGGAGACATTTCGACGACACTGGGAGACGGCACTTGTGGACTGGTGTAGATTTCAGGCCTCTTGGGGGTTCTGGGGAAATACAGAGTGGCTGGAGGCTCGGGTAAGATCGATCCTCAGCGATCAGGGTTGGAGGGACTGGCTATATCAGGAAGTTAGTTCTCGGGGTGATTGATGGAGATGGGACTGGACCAGGACTCAGTGCCGTGCTTTCTATTGTGAATTATAGATTTCCGAGCCAGACTAGAACTTCCACCCAGACCAGCATTCTGTGGGCATTCAACCAGCCTTGGTCGATAGAGATGGGTTGGCTAGACTCCCGACACATATGCGAATCACATAGCAAACATGCTTAATCGGAAAGATTAATCTTGTCGAAGATCGAGAATAGAAGTTCTCAGTGCTATTGGGCGCCGAAGAAGAAACGTCTCAGGCATTATTACTCGCAGTTGTATGACCTGGCATTCCCAAGCGAGTCAAGGTGGCACAGTACAGGGGGCCATGTGATGAAGTTGCACAGGCAACCAGATAGGAATACCCGTGAGTCCTTGAAGCAAACCCTCGTCTCCAAGGTGATTTAAACATCCAAATCAATTTTCCGACTGGGCAAGTCCGACGGCAAAGTGCCAAGCCACTCTGCTTGAAACCGAAGCACCGGGACGGCCTGTTCGGGAACAAATGTCTTGTACATACTCCGAAAGAATTAGCAGGCCCATCCTAGGGCAAAATCGCTTCCTTTCAAGCTGATTACATCTTGGGGCCAAACAATTTGCAAGCTGCCTTGGGCAAGCCGGGCCGCATCCAGAGCTAATGCTGTGTTTGCCAGGGTGTGCACTCTCAGCTCTCTTCGAAACACTCTTGCAGCCTTATTAGATGGGGCTTGAATGGCGTCGAATCACACTCCTAGAGACGGTTGTCTCAATTGGAAGCTTGATCGGCGACCAAGAAGCAAGCGACAATTCTACAGTCCCCGATTGCCATGTTCTTGTTAGTCGAGTCTATCATCAGGCGGCCCATCCCCACGAATCCTGAACCCATGACAATAAGCAATGTCTTTCATCATGAAAAGCAATATCGCAGCAAACAAACTGTGTTTAGAGATGTAAACATTGACAATGCGAGACAATATTAACTAATGGGTCGGTGAGTATGGCTTCTTCTGAGGAAATATCTTTATATCGGAGAATAAATAGTCGCGTGTACGTTCTTCAGGAAGTTTGAGATAGTATGATATTTACCCTTTTCGGTCCATCACTGCTAGCCCTGATTTCGGAGACCACGTTGTGTGACTTACCATGGTGCCTTGGTTACCCTTTTTCCTTCGCGGTGCAACAGCCATCAGTGCTGCTTGTAACACTAGCGAAGAGAACAGTAAGAATCAAATCCGACATTTGTCCCGCTTCAATGTTTTCTGTCGCTTGCTCTCCGACTGGCGTGTGCTCACTTCAACTTTCCCCAAGGCCGATATCCATATGGTACCCTACCTACCAAGTATCTTCCCCCTTTCATCAAGGACGAGGTATGATGAGTTTGACACCAGCGTCCCCAACACACACCACTCACTGATTCAACTCAGGGGGTAACGCAGTACCCACCATGGCGAGACGTCTCCCCTTTAGGACCTCCCCCGGATACCGGAGTAATGCGGCATTACAACTTCACAGTCATGCGCGACATAATCGCGCCAGATGGATACAGGAAAAGCGCCATGCTGATCAACGGCCAATTCCCGGGGCCAACGATCGAAGCCAATTGGGGTGATACAATCTCCGTGACCGTGAATAACATGATTACAACCGGAACAGAAGAAGGTCTGGCCATGCACTGGCATGGAATCACGCAGAAAGGAACCCCTTGGGAGGACGGGGTACCTGGCGTCACGCAGTGTCCCATCGTGCCTCGGTCCAGTTTCACCTACACCTTCCAGGCTGATCAATACGGGACTGGCTGGTATCATTCCCACTACAGCGCCCAATTGACCGACGGCGTCTATGGCCCGGTGATCATCCACGGCCCCAACCACGTCAACTACGACTACGACCTCGGACCCATCATGATCTCAGAATACCACCACCACGACTACTGGTCGAACCTGTTGGAAATCTTCTCCCGCCCACCAGTGATCCCGAATGTGGACAACAACCTGATCAACGGTCGCGGCATCTACAACTGCAGCGGCACGGACTGCAGCCCCGGCGCCAGTCCCTCTCGCTTCAGCTTCCAGAGCGGCAAAGTCCACCGTCTCAGGTTGTTGAACACCGGATCCAACGCCAACCAGAAGATCAGCATCGACGGCCATACGATGACCGTGATCGCGAACGACTTCATCCCCGTCAAGCCCTACAACACGGACGTCGTCACCCTCGGCGCCGGACAACGCACCGACGTCCTCGTCAAGGCCACCGGCCGCCCCGGCGATGCCTACTGGCTGCGAGCCTCCATCGACATGGACTGCCTCAACTCGACCGCCACCCACCCCACCGTCACGGCAGCGATCTACTACGAGGACGCCGACCCAGCCACCTGGCCCAACACCACCAGCACAGCGGTGTGGCAAAGCAACAACTGCGCCGGGGACCCCCTCCACCAGACCGTCCCCTACCACCCCCTCCCCCCACCGGGCACCCCCTCCACCACCGAAACCATCGAGATCAACCTCGCCCAGAACGCCACAGGCCACTACCTCTTCTACATGAACAACACGACCTTCCGCGCCAACTACAACGCCCCGCTCCTCCTCCTGGGCCGCACGGGCAACTTCTCCGACCCCTACTACGCCAACGCCAACGCCTACAACTCCGGCGCCAACGCCAGCGTCCGCCTGGTGTTCAGTAACATCTACCCGATGCACCACCCGCTCCACCTGCACGGCCACAACTTCTGGGTCCTGGCCGAGGGCCGCGGCACGTGGGACGGCGTCATCGTCAACCCTGCCAATCCGCAGCGCCGGGACACGCAGATGATGCAGGCGGGCACCCCCGAGAATCCCGCATTTGTCGTCCTGGAGTGGGTGCTGGATAACCCCGGCGTGTGGCCGCTGCATTGTCACATGTCGTACCATGTTAGCATGGGGTTGTCGTTGAATATCATTGTACGTCTCTTGTTCTGTTTGCGAATGCCGGTGGGGTTCGCTGGGTGGTGGTGATAGCTACTGACGGAGAAATGGTCTAGGAACACCCGGAAAAGATCCAGCAGCTCAAGATCCCTTCCTCGCTGGCGAAGACGTGTCATGAGTGGGCGGTTTTCAGTGGTCAGGAGTTTGTGAATGAGATCGATTCGGGGGTTTGAGGTTGTATCTTACTCTATGTGAGGGTGGGGGGGGGGGCTCCTGGGGTTCACGGACACGTCAATCTTGTTCTAGGGAGGGTTTTGGCTTTAGGGGATGGTGATAGATTTTCTAGTCATATACTATGTAGAACCGGTTGTTGGTTCTTGCCCCGCACCTCAGATTGTCATCATATGTTCAATCATCGATTGCGGAACGCTTGCGGGCACACTGGATAGCTTCTTGGGATAGAACATTGATATCCCCAACCCAACTGGGGGTCTACTCGGTAATGATCTGTAAGGAGTTCTAAGGGTAGCTTGTTCCTCGTTCGAAGGATTTCGCTCGCAACATGGAATTCTAAACCGGCCCAGGCCGAAACGAAAGCTCCAGGTACCCCCGGTGTCCCGAAGAAGCAACAAATATTTCCCTGTGCACGCTGGTGAAATGTTTAAGACGTCGGAATATCCACAAGTAACGCTGGAGAATCTGAAATGGGCCCGAATCGGTATAAAATAAGATTTGTCTCCCGCTTCCTTGGAGATATGTCAGGCATATTCCCATTCAGCGACGGTGCTGAAAGTGGCAAGCGCTTCCGGAGGGGCAGAGCGGAGTGGTCTATACCTGGCTCCCATCTTGGAATGTGATACCGAAAGCCTTCGCCGCTGAGTCCCCAGGTTGCAATATAAAGTAGAGGAGATAGGGATTGATGATTCACGCTTCTGCTTATAACAATATAGCGAGATCCAAGACCGCTGCAACACCCCAACTCTTCTAGATTCTTGCTCCCCGGCATTGACTCGGAATTCTCGCACTATGGCTGCAACCGGCGCAGTAGCAAACCTCTTCGACGTGACGGGCATCGTCGCAGTAGTGACAGGCGGAGGGAGCGGTATGCGTCCCATAGGAATAGAACCTGCTGCTCACGCCAAGCTAACGGACGTTGAAGGGCTCGGCCTATACATGACACGGGCACTGGCGACCAACGGCGCCAAAAAAGTCTACATCCTTGGACGAAGGAGACATATCCTGGACCAAGCGGTGGCGGAACTTGTCAGTCTTGCAGACTCCAACCCCCCACACAAGCATCGTTTCTCACTGCTGCCAGGGCCGAGACAATGTCATCCCAATCCAGTGCGATGTCACCGACCAACTGGCCCTCAGATCCACGGTCGCGTTCATTGAAAAAGATATCGGATATATCAATCTGCTTGTTGCCAACTCCGGCATCGCCGGGCCCTCGGGGAGCGTGCCCCCCGGATCGAGCATTCGGCAAATACAAGAGGCGCTGCTCCGCATCCCCATGGAAGAGTTCACGAATACCTTCCACGTGAACTGCACGGCTGTGTTCTACACTGCCATAGCGTTTCTCGGCCTGCTCGGTGCCGGGAACACGACCCAGAACGACTACGCCCGCAAGGGCTGTCGGAGTCAGGTGATCGCCACCAGCAGTATCGGGGGCTTCAATCGCCGCATCACGGCCGGGTTCGCCTACGGAGCCAGCAAGGCCGCGACCACGATGCTGCTGAAGGTCCTGGCGACGTACCTCGTGCCGTATCGAATCCGCGCGAATGTGCTGTGTCCTGGATGTAAGCAAATGTGAAAGGAGTAAGGTGGGGACGGTATGCTGACAATAGCGGCCAGTGTTTCCGACCGATCTGACGACGGACTTGATTCATGGCAAGAGTCCCACGGAGGAAGGGGCGTTCCCGCTGGACCAGATCCCGGCCGAGCGCGCTGGTACGCCCGAGGATATCATGGGTCCGCTGCTGTATTTGGCTTCAAGGGCGGGGGCGTACTGTAATGGGAACTGTGTGCTTACTGATGGGGGGAGGTTGAGTGTTATGCCTGCTACCTATTAGCTGACGACGTTGTGGATTGAGAAGAATGACAGAAGTCGTTCGATTCTTATCTGTGAGGAAGATTGACCTATCATTCTAGCTCTATGGGTTCCTGTGCCTGTCTTATTTTCATCTAGCTGGGTTGAGAGCTTGGTTGCAGAACAAAGTTGGAGATAAAGCCCACTGAGCGTCGGTAGTAGGATAGAATATCGGGGGGTTGTGGGTATAACGCGGACACATCCCCATGTTCTGAATATATTGGTCGTCATTCTCGATAGGACACAAGAGGTTCGAATGTTCAATATATGCAGGATCAACCCCGCTTGCGCCTTGAGTTGGTTGATAACTGGTGTAGATGGTTCCATGGTAGACAATCCATTATACACCTACCAATTTCCATCACTAAAAGGGTTGCTTCGCAGCGTTGAATCCCCTCTGAACTCACCGCATTGACGTCCAACCTGGTTCACCCAGCCACATTACCGGAAAGCTCTCTACAGTCACCGTCTCGATACAACGAAATTTAGCGAGACATGATATTCGATATACCGATGCTCGGCACACGGAAAGTATCTTGCTGCAGAGAAAACCGTTCTTCAGCCACATCGCCCGGATCTTGATATTAGACTCCCCCCACCACGACGTCCGCGATGACGCCAAGCAAGACCTTGACATCGATATCAACATCATGAATACCAACATTACACCCCATCAAAGGCAGCATACGAAGCATACTCAGAGCCACATGGCTATAGAGAAAGCGCCACTAGTCACGGTTGAGGAGGCTCTATATTGTGTGCGCACATTACAGCTTTTCATAGAACAGCAGGACGACAACAATGATGGGGCTCTCAGGTTACTCCGGGAGCTTCAGAAGCGTGGACGGTTTTGCTTTCGAGAATGGGGAAAGGAGTGGAAGGCGAAGTATGCTATTTCTTCTATGGATCTTATTATTTTCCCTTCTCCCGCTTCGGAGGCTGGCCACGGGTGACTATATGCTCATGACTTCAGTTTCCGATGCCTTATAGAGCTTCGAAGTGTCTAATGGTTGTCTAGGAATAGCGATGCTCTCCGAAACAAACTCTTCGCGCAGAAAGCGTACATCTCAACTGAAAGCGATAGAGATGGTTTCATATAAAGAATCAGTGGCTTGAAAGACAAGCTAGCCGCCTTTATGCGTGGCTGACGCAAGGGTCTAGGACTGGCAATTGGAGAAGGAAATTGCAAGGTAAACAACGTACGGAGTATAGTGTAAGGGGTTCGGGTGTAGAGGAGATGGGGATGGAAGAAGAAATTCGAGGATGATTTTGGGGATCTGTGGTCAACATGTGATCATGCTAGAATTTGGGTATGTGGGTGAGCCCAATCGATACCTTTTGGTTACATGTTACACGCCTTCATTGGGACTGCTCTTAGGTGGTTTGGGCATGGTATGGCTGGATGTTCCGCCCAATGGGTAAGACTGAGTGTTACCTGTCAGAATGTTAAGGGGTAAAGGAGCGACCGGGCCGAGCGGCACCGGTGACGCTAAGCACTAGACGGGTTAGCGTGGTGTGATTTTGATGATTTCGATAAACATCCGAAGTTCTGGCCTGACGGCGATACCCTTATCGGGGATCCCACATTCAACTTATCACACACACGGAACGAATTAGGAGTATTTCCTATTTCCACGGAAAACAATCTAGCTTAGCTTAGCTTGGGGTTAGGTTCCTTAGGTACCAGCCAAGCCAGTCTGACCGCCAACCTCACTCAGTGCCTCAACCTTTTCTCCTCATTTCTCTCCTCCGGATCTCCTTCTGTTTTCCCCCCAGTCCCACTTCCTCCCTAATCTCCCTATATCCCCCCCCCCCCCAATACCCTCACCATCATCCATCATGCGTGAAATCGTGAGTCGACCTTTTTACACTAAGTTTATTTATCTTTTGAAAGAGATGAAACAAGAAATACTAACAGTTCCTCTCCACATTTAGGTTCACCTCCAAACCGGCCAGTGTGTACGTTTCACCCATTCTGGAACTGCCAGTCATCTATCTACCTAGTACTCACAAACTCCCTCTCTACAGGGTAACCAAATCGGTTCTGCCTTCTGGTAAGCTCCAGCCTTTATCCCCTCTCCATCCCCCGTTATGGCTAACCCCCCACCAGGCAGACCATCTCCGGCGAACATGGCCTCGACGGCGACGGCGTGTCAGTGACCCAGCTGGCCCTCGACTCCTTCCCCTTCTGACACCCATCCTAGATACAATGGCACCTCCGACCTCCAGCTGGAGCGCATGAACGTCTACTTCAACGAAGCCGGCAACAACAAGTACGTGCCCCGCGCGGTGCTGGTTGATCTGGAGCCCGGTACGATGGACGCTCTGCGCTCCGGCCCCATGGGCGGCCTCTTCCGCCCCGACAACTACGTGTTCGGCCAGTCTGGTGCGGGCAACAACTGGGCCAAGGGTCACTACACCGAGGGTGCGGAGCTGGTCGACCAGGTCGTGGACGTGGTGCGCCGCGAGGCCGAGAACTGCGACTGCCTGCAAGGCTTCCAGATCACCCACTCCCTGGGAGGTGGTACGGGTTCCGGCATGGGTACCCTCCTGATCTCCAAGATCCGCGAGGAGTTTCCCGACCGCATGATGGCCACCTTCTCGGTGATGCCCTCGCCCAAGGTGTCGGACACGGTGGTCGAGCCCTACAACGCGACCCTGTCGGTGCACCAGCTGGTCGAGCACGCCGACGAGACCTTCTGTCTGGACAACGACGCCCTGTACGACATCTGCCAGCGCACGCTGAAGCTGTCCTCCCCCTCGTACGGCGACCTCAACCACCTCGTGTCGGCCGTCATGTCCGGCATCACCGTCAGCCTGCGCTTCCCCGGCCAGCTGAACTCGGATCTCCGCAAGTTGGCCGTCAACATGATCCCCTTCCCGCGTCTGCACTTCTTCATGGTCGGCTTCGCGCCCCTGACCAGCCGCGGCGCCCACTCCTTCCGCGCCGTGACCGTCCCCGAGCTCACCCAGCAGATGTTCGATCCCCGCAACATGATGACCAACGCCAACTTCCAGAACGGTCGCTTCCTGACCTGTTCGACTTTGTTGTATGTTTCCTGTTCCAACCCCATCACCCCTCGACACCACCCCTCCAATAATGCTAATTCTTCACCTCAACAGCCGCGGCAAGGTCTCCATGAAGGAGGTCGAGGACCAGGTCCGCAACGTGCAGAACAAGAACTCGACCTACTTCGTGGAGTGGATCCCCAACAACGTGCAGACGGCGTTGTGCTCGGTGCCGCCCAAGAACCTCAAGATGGCGGCCACCTTCGTGGGCAACTCGACTTCGGTGCAGGAGCTGTTCCACCGCGTCGCCACCCAGTTCACCGCCATGTTCCGCCGCAAGGCCTTCTTGCACTGGTACACCGGCGAGGGCATGGACGAGATGGAGTTCACCGAGGCCGAGAGCAACATGAACGACCTGATGTCCGAGTACCAGCAGTACCAGGATGCGTCCATCTCCGACGGCGAGGGCGTCGAGCACTACGAGGGCGAGGGCGAGGAGATCTACGAGGAGGAGGCCTAGATCCTTGCCCTGAGCAGGGCAAGGCGAACGCGAATTACCTTGTCAGAAAACGTGGCTAAGGGGATGAAAATCTGTTCTCGTCTTATATGTGTGCTTCGATCGACTTGCTTTTGTTGGCTGGTCGGTCTGGGCTTTTATTCACGGACATAATAATTTGATTGGCTTGGCGGGACTTGATTTCGTGCCTTCTTGGTTGCGTAGTGTGGCTTTTTGCTGTGGGGGTTGTAAGATTGATGGCTTGATGGGGATAGCTGCGCGGGTGCGGCAGGTTGGGTTGTGGCGTGGCTAGAGGTATACGAAGGTAAACCTGCGCGTGCTGAACGATGAAGATGCAGGTGTCATGCTGTTGGATGAAATGGATAGTGATGCTGAGGTAAATTGAGGTATGGTAGGAGTGGCTATCACATTGGTCAAAACTGTACAGCTTGTAGGTTGTATGGAATAAGAGCACCTTCTGTTGGTATAGCTCCGTGGTATACACCCTCACCCTCCTGCACTCCCCCCTCTTTCTCCTCCCCCACTCGCATAGAAAATACAGTATAACCCACATCCAACATCCCATCGCAACACCAAACAACCACGAACTATGTACACCCACCACACCCCTTTACTTTTGCTTTCCCCCCCTCGTCCACCCCCACCTCCAACCGACAAAAACAGGACGCCCGCACCGGCACATCCGCCTCGGCCACAGCCTCGCGCACCTTCCCCTCCACCCGCCTGGCCTCCTCTGCCCTCCCCAACCGGACCAAACACTCATGCACCCCATGCAACGCCCACACATTCCCGGGATGCCTTAACGCCCGCGGCAATGCATCCGACATCCCCAGATCCGCCTCGTACACCGCCAGTGCCTCCTCCAGGCGCCCTTGCTCCATCAGCAGCGCCCCGTACGCGTGGCGCGTCGGCTGCATCCAGCCCCACGGTTCATCGTACGGGAGATTATCTTCGAGCTGGATGGCGGTGCGGAGGGCAGAGAAGGCCGCGTCGAAGTCGCCCTCGCGGTAGGCGAGCTCGCCGTCGAGCATGGCGGCGGCGACGGCGAGGATGTCGGTGCATTTGTTGTTGAAGAGGGCGCGCGACGGCTGGACGCGGGCGACGGCGGCGTGGAAGCGCGTGCGCTCCGCGCGGGAGGCACTGGTGTCCCCCCTCGCGGCGTGGGCGATGCCCTTCGCGTAGTGCGTGATGGCTGTGGTCATGGTGTACAGGGCTGGGTTGGGCGGGAGGGCCAGGGCGAGGATGTCGGCCCATTTGCCGAAGCGGATGAGCACGTGCACCCGCACGGAGAGGAAGGCCTCGAGCCAGTCGGCCATTGGCGGGGATTGGATCTGCAGGAGGGATTCGGGGATGGAGGTCTCGAGTTGGGACGCCGTGGCGAGGGCGATCGCGGACTGGCCCGCGAACATGGCGGCGTAGATGCGGAAGTGGTAGTTGTGCGAGCGGTACAGGGTGTAGAAGTTCACGGCGCCCGCGTGTTGGTGGTACCGCTCGTCGGCGGCGATGGCTGCGCTGTTCCAGGTGATGGCCCGGGTGTAGTGGCCGCAGAGGAGGTCCAGGTGCGTGGGCATGTGGTGCAGGTGTCCGCCGTCGGGGACCAGGCCGCGCAGGTGGTCGGCGATGGGCAGGGCGGATTCGGGCGCAGGGGACATCTCCATCAGGTGGATGTAGAGGTGGAGAAGCCCCGGGTGTTGCAGGGCAGTGGGCAGGGCTAAGGCGCGGTCGAGCAGGGCTTTGATCTGGAGGGTGGGTGCTCCCTCGCTGGGTGCGCCGGTTCGCAGGTCCCACAGGTCCCACGGGTGCAGGTTCATGAGCGCGTCCGCGTAGGCGCTGATGACGTCGAGATCATCGGGGAATGCGCGGTATACTGCCTCCATGGCTCGGGCGAAGTCCTCGTTCCATGCGGAAAACGGCTTGGTGGGGATCTCTTCAGGGTATCGTGATTGGATTGCCTTGATCAGTGCGGCTTCGACGGCGGATACGTGGGGAGCGTGGGATTCGGCTGTCTTCGCGGCGGCGTGTCCGCGTCGGACGACGGTGGCTAGTTCTACCTCGTCGAAGTAGCTCCAGGGCTTGTTGTAGTTGGCGCCGATGGCATAGGCCAGGCCCCAGTAGGCCATGGCGCAGGTCTCGTCGGAGGCAATGGCTCTCTCGAAGCACCGGGCGGATTCTTCGTGGTTGAAGGCGTACATCCAGATGAGACCCCGGTTGAACCATGCTTGGCTGGTGGAGGAGGTGGTGGTGACGGGGCGGTGGTAGCTCCCAAGATCGAAGTAATCCTCTTGTGACATGGTGATGGTGGTGGATTGAGCTGATCGTGTGTATATTTTGTTCCCAATCTGTTGTTCTCAGCCACGATGGCTAGAGGACAATATGGTGGGGTCGGGTCTTGGCGTGGCGTGATCAACAATTTTATTCAAGGATGTGTATCAAGCTGCACTGCTCTCGACTGCCACTGGGAGAGGATAAAGACGATAGACGCTATGCCAGGTAGTTCAGAGGGAGTAATAAGTGTTGATGCGGTTGGAAGCGGACGAAGGCATCATGAATCCACCGTCACTTCTCCAACAAGCTTCTATTTTGGGTTAGTCCACGCGGGGTTTGGGTGTTTGCGTTTGCTATTAACGATAAGATAAGCACGCCAGTCGACAGGCAACGAGCATGCTGTACCTAGTATACATACATGGACAACAACAGTCCCGTATAGTCAGTACCTCGCAACTGCACCCAGTGGATACTAATCTTTCGGCTGTGATAGACCTCAATCCTACGCAGAATGCGCCTATCGAGTTGTTCCTTCCTGCAAGGCCACGTATCAGCTGAGTCACTATGCACCTTCCAGATCAAGTTCACCAGTTCATCCCCGCAGGCTTATCGTCGGACTTGATATGCAGTGCAACGGCGTTTGAGCATCCTCACATTATCCTCCCATTTGTTGTCAACACCGAGCCCCTTGGCCACCAAAAGCCCGAGCTTCTTTAATTTCTATTTTTGATCCTCGTCCGGCCCTCAATTGCTGTCACAACCCCGCGTTCAGCTCTACAGTCAGAATAGACACTACGCGGACACACATATACAAAGCTCAACACACCAATTGTACAGACCGCACGCAATCATGATCAGCGTGCAAGCTCGAAGTTCCCTCACCAAGATTCGTCATCCACTAACCTCTCTACGCTCTCAGTCTTCCATTGCTACCCCCTCCTCAATTCTCTACACAAAGATCAACTCTCCCCCGTCCAAAGTCATCTCCAGCCGCGGCCACTACCTCGTCACCGAAGATGGCCGGGAGATCTTCGACGCAACAGGGGGTGCAGCCGTCGCCGCCCTCGGCCACAACCACCCGACCATCAAGAGCGCCATCACCCAGCAACTAGACGAAGTGGCGTACTGCTACTCGCCCTTCTTCACCACTCCGGCTGCCGAGCGCATCGCAACCTTCCTCACTGAGTCCACGAATGGAGAGATGACCAAGACCTTCATCGTTAGCTCCGGTAGACTTGCCCTTCATACTTTGCCAACTGAGCTAAGGTGAGACAATGCAGGTACGGAAGCCATCGAAGCATCCATCAAAATCGCCCGGCAGTACCATGTCGAACGTGGCCAGCCCCAGCGGACCCGGTTCATCGCGCGGAGACAGTCCTACCACGGCAACACTCTGAGGGCGCTCGCGACGGGGTACCATAAAGCCCGGAGAGCGGTGTATGAGGACATCCTGGCCAAGAATGTCTCGCATGTGTCGCCGTGCTATGCGTACCGGGACAAGAGCCCTGGGGAGAACGACGAGAGCTATGTTCAGCGGCTGGCGGACGAGTTGGAAAGCGAGTTTCAGGCCGTCGGACCGGACACAGTTTGTGCTTTTCTCGCGGAGACGATCACCGGGGCTGTAAGTGATGCTTCGACTAGACCAGGAACCAAAGTGCTGACCGATGCAACAGACCCTCGGTTGCGCCCCTCCTGTGCCGGGCTACTTTCCAGCGATAAAGGCCGTATGTGACCGCCACGGTGCCCTGCTGATCATGGACGAGGTCATGTCGGGCATGGGGCGTTCGGGGACTCTGCATGCATGGGAGCAGGAGGGTGTTGTTCCAGATCTGCAGACAGTGGCCAAAGGTCTGGGGGCCGGGTACGCGCCTATAGGGGCTCTGCTTGTGGGCAAGAAGGTGGTGGACGCTCTGGCCCAGGGCACTGGCGGTTTTGTGCACAGCCAGACGTATCAGGGCCATCCGGTCGCTTGTGCTGCTGCGTATGCTGTGCAGACCCTGATTCAAGAACAGAATCTGCTGGACAATGTCAGAGTCCAGGGGGACTACTTGGGGAGACTCCTGACAGAGCGCATTGGAGATCATCCAAATGTAGGGGATGTCCGCGGTCGGGGACTGTTTTGGGGGGTGAGTTGCTTTTCTATCATGGGTCATCCAAGCGGAATCTTGCTAATGAGGCGTAGATCGAGTTTGTGACGGACAAGGAGACAAAGACACCCTTCCCCGTCGGTGATCAGGTTGCGCAGACCGTGCATTTGACGGGGTTGCAGGATGAGCACTGCATTTCCTTACTGCCCAGTAGCGGAAATGTTGACGGGACTCAGGGCGATGTTGTTCTGATTGCTCCTGCATATAACATCACCGCCCCCGAGGTGGAGGATCTTGTGGATAGGGTCGAGAAGGTCATCGAGTCGGTATTCGATCAGCATTGACTCACCTGTGCAAGTGCCGCTTGCGTTGTGTCTGCAGTCCTGTAACCAACCTACCATAATCATATTATTAACTGGCTTGCTAAGCAACTTGGAATACGACCCCTGAAATATCCTACCAGTAAGACCGCGTCACCACGGCTTGAAAAGACTCAAGTCTATAGGACTTGTTCAGCCATCTCCAGGACAGCAACCTGGGTTCTTCTCATCGCATGACACTTCCACCATCCACCCTCAATCTCCACCTCGATATCAGCCTCAGCGGGCGTGGCTTTTGTAGGACGATTGATATTTTTCTCAAGGCCGTGGTGGAATGCGAGAGGCATGGTGCAAGTTTGCCGATCCGCGAACAGAAGGTATCGTATCACTCAACCACAGAATCGAGAGAGTTGCACAAAGCGACAGGGATCTTGCTATTCGCGTTCTTAGCTATCTGAGAGCACCGGATGATACGCTGCTCACGGAGGTGCGCGCACCTGACACTGTAAGCCCTAATTGTTGAAGTGAGGATAGGCAGTTTCTCCCGTCTGATGTGCTCTCATCCTCTCATGCTAGACGGGGAGAAGACAACAGTGAGCTGGAATCATAGTCCAAAGGATGTTCATTTTGTTCATTTACCCAGACTCAGACTTTACAGACAACCAGGGGCCAGGTCCGTAGGTTGGCGCTCTACATAACTGCCATCGGTATCGAAGCTGGCCGCCCTCCGACCTCCGACTGGGGCGCGTTCCATAAGTTACCATTCATTCCCGACAATCCGAGATGAAAGTGTCGGACCCCACTTGGTGCCAACACAGCCACACAGCAGACCATGCTTAATCTCCTCGGGGGTCAGAGAAGGGTTCGTGGCCAATGGGACTCAACTGCCGAAGAATCGAAATGAATCTGGGGATGGAATGGGGGGATGTGCAGGCGCCGTTGCCAAGGGGGGTCGCTCGCGTTCAGGTTCGTATCAGAGTGTCGGATATATTGGTATCACCCAACCGGCATATAAGTTACAGCCTACCAATATTCCGTCGTCCACTACGATGTGGAATGTCCTGGGGTTTGGTTGCTGGTTTGTTTCCATGGGCAGATTCGGTTGCTCCTCGGCTAAATAGTTCAAAGCGCGCACTGTACCCCTGTTAAAGCCGACCATTTCGCACTAAAGTCCGAAATGATTACGTTGAACTTAGAAGTGCCAGTTGAGGATTTTGCAGGAGGAGCTCGACTCCGGTGGGGACAGTGGCTCGAGCTTGGGTGCTGAGTGTTCTGGTTCCTGAGGAGTGTGATTGTGATTGTGATGGCTGATACGGAGGAGTTATTCTGGTAGTGGTCAACTGACTCATGGGCTGGACTGTTCCTGGCCGGTTCTTGGAGGATGACGCGGCGGAATCTTGGCTCCATCGGGCAATTCAATGACCCCTGCAGAAGGAGTAATCTAATAAACACCAAGCGAACCTCAAGATGAAACCACACCAGGGGTTTTGCAGCAGCGAGGACTTCGTCTCGAGCTCGGCTAATGGCGACCGTACCAATGAAAATTGTGCCCTGACTGGGTCCTCATCCCACTCCCCGTCTCCATCAGCGCCCGTGCATACACCATACACCATGCACCTATGCACATACACCCATACAACCTCATTCCATTCACTTCCTCCCCTGCCAAGTGCCAACCATAGCTTCAGCAACTTGGCTAACGCTTGTTGTCAAATTTCTCCATCTCGCCCCTTGGCACGGAGAATCCTGAAACCACCAGTCCGGGTCTTCAATACCACCAGCGCTAAGCTATCCGTATTTGCCGGCTGTTATGCTCCTCACGATGATACTTAAGATGCGCGAGGGAAGACACCTCCTCTGCTGCCATCACCAACCCAGTCCTTCTTTTCTTTCTTTCTGTTAACTTGTACTTTCACTCTTTCAGTCGTTCTTTTTATTCTTTCACCATGCAGCAGCGCAGTGCGCTCCTTTTGGCCCTGGCGGCGCCTCTGGCGCTGGCCTGTGATAGCCCTGAAAACCACGCTTGTGCCTCCATCTACTCTGTTTCCTCCGTGGCTGCAGCCAGCTTCTGCGCCACCTTCACCGCCAGCGCGGTGAGCGAGACGACCGGCGTGCCGGACGCCTTCCTGTCGGCCTGCGACTACAAGACCAAGCACCTGTCCAGCGCCTGCAGCTGTCTGGGCCCTGTCACCGGTGCTGCCGCGGCCGCCACCAGCGTGGTACGAGCCATCCATCTCCATATGTCGTGACAGCAGCATCCGCTAACCCCCCAGCAGAGCACCACAGCCCCCGTCGTCGTTGCCACCTCCACGACCGCCGCCGCCGCCTCCACCTTCCAGACCTCCTCCAAGGTGGCCTCGACCAGCCAAGCGGCGTCCACGACGCTGGCCCCCGTCACTACCGAGGTCGCCGTGGCGGCCACCTCGGCCGTCGGCAACGGCGGCACGACCTGCACGGTGACCGAGTACGCGTCCATCTCGTCGGCGGTGGCCTCGTGCTCCAACATCCTGCTGTCGGGCGTCAGCGCCCCGGCGTCCAGCACGATCGACCTGACCGGGCTGCAGACGGGCGCGGCCGTGATCTTCGCCGGTGAAACCGTACGCTACCTTTTCTCCTATGTGCTCTTCCAACCTGACTAACCCCCCCAGACCTTCGGCGACACCTACGACAGCGACTTCGACCCGATCGTGATCTCCGGCACGGACCTGACCATCACCGGAGCGGAGGGCCACGTCATCGACGGCAACGGCCAAGCCTACTGGGACGGCGAGGGTTCCAACGGCGGACAAGACAAGTATGCCTTCCTGCCCCGTAACCCCTCAGCCCCTCCTGAACCGCAAAGCTAACCCCCAAAAGACCGGACCACTTCATCGTCGTCAAGAAAATCTACAACAGCACGATCAGCAACCTGTACATCCAAAACTGGCCGGTGCACTGCTTCGACATCGAATCGAGCGAGGGCCTCACCCTGACGGGCATCACGCTGAACAACACGGCGGGCGACAGCCCCAACAGCCTGAGCGGCGACGACCCGGCCGCCCACAACAGCGACGGCTTCGACATCAAGTCCTCGACCGACCTGACCCTGACCGACAGCTGGGTGCACAACCAGGACGACTGCGTCGCCATCACCTCGGGCTCCAACATCCTCGTCGACAACCTCTACTGCGCCGGCGGCCACGGGCTGAGCATCGGCTCCATCGGCGGCAAGTCCGACAACACCGTCGACGGCGTCACCTTCAGCAACTCGCAGGTCGTCGACTCCGAGAACGGCTGCCGCATCAAGACCAACTCCGGCGAGACCGGCGAGGTCTACAACATCCGCTACGAGAATATCACCCTCTCCGGCATCTCGGACTACGGCATCGACGTCCAGCAGGATTATTTGAACGGCGGGCCCACCGGCGAGCCCACGAATGGGGTCATGATTGAGAATGTCACGTTTGTGGATGTCACCGGCACCATGAGTGATGGCAAGGATTATTATATCCTGTGTGGCGATGGGAGCTGTGAGAACTTTACATTCGAGGGCGTGAGTATCACCGGCGGGAGTGGGGATAGTTGCAATTATCCGGATAGTGGGTGTCCTTAGGTAGATGAGGGGTGGTGGTGGTGATGGGGGAATGGTGAGGGGTGGTGAGGGGTGGCGTGGTTTGTAACTATATTATACTATACTATCAATAAAGAGCTGTAGATCGGCATTTGATTGATGTGTAGGTGGGGGGAAGCTGTAGGGTTGACTGCATCATGCTGCTGTCTACGTTGTGACAGTACATCCGTATACTGCAGTGACAAGGTACAGGCCTAAAATCAAACCTACGTACGCACATCAATGCATTGAACTATAAGCAAAGACAATCACCCCACCTGTTTATCGGATGATTTCCGTAGACCAGTCGCCCAGTCCACCACGTCCCTGTCTATCCTGTATCACATTAGTGCAACCGCAAACACCCTGAATCATTAGCATGCAACCCCGGACAACATGCACTCGCACAAATACATGGCATAAACTCATAATGCATCACAGCAGCCGTCCACACACGCTGGTCGTCCCCAACTGGCCTAAAGCAATACATGCAACCACCATAATGCCCAATGCTGGCCACCACATCGAATACACCACAGAAAGCAAGGCTAAGAACTCCCCACCCAGACCGACACCGTCGCAGACGTCGTATAAATCATGAATCCAAACCCTAGCACCACCATCGCAATGTCGCCGCGCTTGACCCACGACGACTGCGCCACCCCCTTGTAGTGCAGATACGCCGGGTAGATGTACACCAGCGGCACGCAGGCGAACGAGCCAATCAGCGAGACAAACTTGTCCAGATCCCCGGCGCCCACGGCGGACAACACCCCACAGCCCAGCACCGCCACCGTCCGGAACACGTTCTTTTTCCACTTGATCATCGGGTCCCGCTTGCCCGACCCCTGCCCGAACAGCTTGCCCTCCAGGATGCGCACGGCCGGGAACAGCTGGATCGGCGTGCTGATCAGGATGGCCAGCGAGTAGATCAGCTGCAGCGCGTTGACGAACCGGTCGCCCTGCGGGAAGTTGCTGATAATCTCCGTCTTGGTGTCCGCGCCGAAGGTCGCGTACGAGAGCGCCCCGACCGCCGTGAAGAGGACGGTGATGATCCCCATCACGAGGTAGAGAAGCCGGTCAAAGTGCTCCGGGTGTTTCATGGACGACTGGATCGGCAGGATCAGCCCGATGCCTTCGAAGGTGAAGATGCACGACCCGATGGTCAGCGTGAACGACTGTCGGTTGAACAGCTCCACCGTCGACGCCAGCCCGCGCGAGGCCAGGCTCGCGATGTCGTAGCAGTAGATGTAGCTGAGTCCCATCAGGATGAACACGTCCGCCAGTAGCGCCACGGGCCCCAGTTTGGAGATGTTCCGGATCAACGCCATCGGGACCAGCACCACCAGCTGCAGCCCGATCAGAGCCCCTGTGGTCAGCGCCTCGGGCGGCGCGGAGCTCACTGCCGTCATGAACGAGTGGACATTCTCCGCCGTAAAGATGATGCACGCGCACACGAACCCGAACTGCGAGATGGCGATCGACGACAGAATCAGCGACCGCGCGCGCGGGCCGGCGATGTGTTCTCCAATGTCACCGTAACCTCCCCCGTACCGTCTCCGACACTCCAACAACAGATGGAAGCACAGGGTACTGATCAGTGACACCGTGACGAGGGTGATGGAGGAGAACAGGATCCCTCCGTTGCGGAAGGCCTTGGGAAGGAAGATGATGCCCGTGCCCACGAAGGCCTTGAGCAGCGTGAAGAAGGTCTTCACGTTGGACGCATCGCCCGGCCGACTGACGCGGGCGCTCTTCCGGCGCCGTAGCAGCGGGCTCCGCTCATGGGCCTCCCGTTCTTCTTCCTCCGCGATCGCCGATTCCTCCTCATCTGTATCGACCAAATCCTCGCCCGCGAAGTTGCCGTAGTTGTCCAAGAAGTCGAGGAAGGAGGCCGTCACGCCCCGTCCATCCAGCCGACCGTACTTGTTCTGCAAGAAGTGGCGTCGGAAGCTGCCCGGTTCGAGTGCCGCGACGCTCTCCTCGACGGCGTCGTCGTTCTGGCGGGGGAGGTGGGAGAAGGTCAGGGCGCGTTTGTCGAGGCGGGCCTGCTTGGAGCGGGCGTCGATGCGGTACAGGTCCCGGTGGATATCTCCGCCCTGGAGTCTCAAGGAGGACTGAGGCTCGGGGCCGGACTCGCCGGAGTTGTGCTCGTCGGGGGCATCGGGAGGGGCGAGTTCCTCCTGTAACGAAGCGGTGAACTGTGGGTCGAGGTGTTGTGACAGGATGTTCGCCTCCCTGGGATCAGGGTCGACGGTATCCCGGAAGGATGAGCTGGTAAAGTCTGCCATTGTTAGTGAAATGGAAAGGTAGTGCAAGGAGCAAGCATTGTTGGATGAAGAGAGAGTCCAAAGAAGTCAAGGGCGAAGGGGTGCAGCAGCAGCAGCCCCATCATGTAATGGTGATGACGCTGTTGATGGGGCGCATTGCGAACTGAGGGAAGAGAAGCCACGGGATGCCCTTGGGACGGTGTGATTGGCCAGGGACTCCCCCAGTCAATGCGACACGTGACCTTTAGGTTCTCCGGTGGCGGCTGACTCAGCGGACACCTGCCGGATCAGGCATCCTTCCCGTCTCTTTGTTTCGGTGGGTTTCCCTGCATGAAGCATGAAGCCACCATCGCACGTACAGTTGACAGTAAGTTACTAGGTTACACTGAGCTTCGAAACTAATTCTCTACTGCTAACCTCTACTTTCACAATAGAGCTGGTAATACATCATGTTGTTGTTTCAGATGAATCCGATGAATTCATCCATCATCCACCTCCAACACGTATTGGCATATGTTAACAAGTCAATACATTAATCTCAGCTAAGGAACCACAACACTCCAATAGCTTTTAGTACACGTCGCCGTACTAACAAAGGAAAGAACCCATTTGTTTTGTGTTTTTGACACAAGCAAAAGTGACATAACCAAATCCGAAATGGATATCTCCCTTCCCTCATATTCAACGGCAGAACATTAGTTCAATCATTCTCAACCATTTCCCAACAGACAAAGCTTGGTGATAGTTCTGTCTCAGGGGCAATGGCCCGGACCGGTGACACCATTGTTATAATTGTCCAGCGTGGTGGCCCAGCCGTTCACTTGGCTTTTTTGCGCATTGGTGAGGCCGGCCCAGTCTGCGCTAGTTTTACCGGTGAGGAAAGTGTCCGCAGCCTGGATGGTACTTGCCACAGCGGAGCCGTCCGCCCCGGTTTTGATGTTGAGCTTCGCGGCGAGCAACTGCGCATACAGCTTGTCGATTCCGTTGCTACCGGTGGTACCCTCGATTGCAACGGCATCAGCTGCCTCAGTCACCTGGCGGCTACCAAGCGAGATCGGTAGTAGTGCCGGGGGGCCCTTGATGACCTCAATGTGATTCTTCCAGTACCCGATCGTCCGCGTGCAGCCGCCGCCGCCGCCGCCGCCAGTGCACTTGACCGTCACCGTTGCCGAATCACTGGGCCCGGGCGACCCGTCGTCGTAGGTGATGGACGCGGTGTTGGGATTATCTCCCTCGTTAGCACAGGTGAATGTGCGGGTGTACGTCGCCTTTCCGTCATCGGAAAACTGCCCTAGCGAGCCCTGGAGGGTGTCGGACACCGTAACGGTGTTGTGCACGAGCGTCTCAGTCGCTGGAATCGTCGTGGTGGCGGCCTCGTTCGGCCCAAACGGTTCTCCCAAGTGCCCGGAGTGATTGATAATCGTCGTATCAGCCGTCACCTTGTAGGTGCCGCTGTTGGCGCTCGGGATGTTGATGCTATAGGGGTAGCAGTGGCTCTCCCCGGCAGCCAGGACAGGTTTAGCCGACACGTCAAGGTTCGAATCTGGTACGACTATATCGTTGGACGGCGGCTGCGTCACCTTAAGGGTTGACATGAGGCTCTCAGTTGCCTTACTGCCACCGTTCGTGATGCAGACCTGCCCGTCGATCCAGGTGCGGACAGTCCCGTCGTCCTTGGTCAGCGTCACCGTGTAGTCCACGGTCCCACTCTGACCTTGGACCAGATCGAGTACGGTTGGGTTAGCCGTCTTGTCGATTGTCCACGTGAAAGTTCGGGTCCGGTGCCCGGTGGCTGTCATCGTCTCGCTGAGCGTTGTGCCCGATTGCCCGCCCCCCTGGCCGCCCGCGGCCTGGATTTCCTGCCTCTTGCTGCGCGCTATGTCCTCAGTCTCGGCAGGCGCCGGAAAGGCGGAGACCCCCCAAGCTACGACGAGAGCCAATACCAACACCCAGCCGAGACGGAGCAGCGAGGGCGTTTTCATTTTGATATTGCCCCTATAGTTGGAGTGCGATCGAAATATCAAGCTTTGGTAATTCCAACTTCAAAAACAGATTGAATGCCTGAGCGACGAACTATGAATTGTCCTCGAGAGTCAGTCCTTAGGGTGGACATCGAACGGTTATTTATCACTTCTCATACCGCGTTCAAGCCCAATCGAGGACGCTTGTTCTTGCCAATATCATCGCATCATAGGAGAGAGGCCAGAAGGGCCGGTTGCTTTAGATTTCCTGGAACATGGGCACGAGAGGTCATTTTCCCGAGTGTGGCCATTGTTTGCCATCTGATCTATGAGTTTCGGTGGTATACTTTTGTGACTGAAGGGTCCTTCCTTTGTTACAAGTCGCGGTGGATGTATCACGAACCAAAGCCACCAAAAAGAGCCAGAACCGTTCACGAGCTCTCCCCACGGAAAGCGATGTAGGTGGGAAAGTGGGGATGGAGGACGGCAACGGGAACAATAAAGAAGAAGACGAAGAAGAGGCGGAGGAGTTCTCTAACTAATACGTATGTACCTCCCACCGGTCGTCGAGACCCTATCTGGCCACACTTGGTCGTGCCCGTGGTTTTTGACCGGTTATCTCAAGACAATAGGCCTAGATGCGAAAGTGTCGTCCCTATGACTTACACTTATGCGGCCTCGTGATAGCCGGGGACTACGGAGATCATGGGAAAGATACGACTGCGATGCTCAGGCTGCACGAATTAGAAGTGCTTGTGAAGCGGAAAAGTCTTAGCGGTCTACTGTTTCCCACAATACGGCGGACGTCATCGTCACTTCTAAAGGCCGCATCCTTACAAGTCCCCGCGTTCGGCCGAGGTAAATGGTAAACTAGCTTAAGCCCCCGGGCTCTGGAAAACTTAAATATCAATACGAGCGATGAAGTACTCGGCAACCATCGATCGGCCTGGCTCTGTCAACTGAACAGATATCCCGGGTTCTGGCACCAAGGTTACCGCGGTAGCCGCGCCTGATAGCATGGATGAATGGGCCGCCAAGAATTTTCCGCTTCACAATCACGATGTAACGTGCGACACCTAAACATAGCGCGCGATTTTCTATGCTCCTTAGGTTGCAACATATATCGTGAAATCAAGTCACAGGGACGATGGCTAGACATATAGGCCTATTCTGTCCAAATAGCTGGTCGACAAGAAGTGGGAATGACCAGATACGGTCAAATGTGCGTTTTGGATGACTTTAAGTCTCAACCGAACCAAAGCTAACTGCGCGGTTGCTGATTAGCCGGACCAAAGTATGGCGCGCCGGTTCAAGCTTATCTTCTAAATTCTGACCTACCTTGGATGCTGTCGATGGCTGCGTCTAGCTTACCACAGATACACACGTACAAGCAATTCAATTGGATTTGTCAAGGGGAAACGCTGAAGGGAATGTACGAATAAGACGACTTGATACGACTTAAAGTTCAAGCACAGGCCGGAGAGCCTAGATGATGCCACTGCTGGTCAAACACATGATGCCTACTGGCTATCCTATTTGTACATGCGTCCGTGCAAGATCACACCTTTCGCATAGCATAAACATCTACATGACCAAGGATCGTTAGCTAGAATGTCCTATGTATTAGGCGGGTTAGATAACCGGATTCATATCTTGGAGCTCCGTCACCGACTCGGCTCCGAGGGCCTCTCAGCTTCTCTGAAAAAGCCTAATGAGGGTGGGATGTATCCAGACTTGATAATAGCGCTTTACACTATATAATTGGTCTAAAAGTCTTGACAAAAAGCAGGTAGCTCTTGTTATACCACCGCTTGAATCCGTTGGTCGACCTGCGTCACTCATGCCGCCCTAACTTCGAACCAAAGCCGCTCGATGGACAGGATTCGTGTACTCTATAGTTCCCTTCGCTAATCTCTCTCGGATTCTCAATGCTAGGCTAGCTTATGCTAGTCCAACGAACTTGAAAATGCTCTATGTCTCCCGACCCAGGATTTAAACTAGTGTGCAGATCACTGCTACTTACCCGAACCGTTGAGTACAACATCAGGTCCCGTAAGCCGATTCCAGAATTGTCGAGGCGGCACTTCAAGCTCTGCTACCATTCCATTGCTGCAAGATCAGCTTTTCTCCGCTGTAGATATGTTGTGTTAGTTGCACCATTGACATACCTAGGTGGTATTGCTGGTGGGAACAGTGCCTTGAGTGAAAGGGCAGCGATACCATACCTTGCTTAGTCCTTTTGTCTTCTTCTTTGTTGACAGCCAAACCCTGCACAATAGCAATAATGAACACTCTTGGTCTTGAAAATGAGTAGGATTTCTTTGAATCAACTAACTAGTGGCCGTGCCCTCAAGTTGCAACCTTCAGGCGAATTGCTTCATCCCCTGTAATGATTCACAGTCAAAAGGATATCCCATGGCTCTGCTGAAGATGATCCCATCTCGAGGACCGGGGTCAAGGGCTTACGGGGTCCACGGGGTCCACGGGTAACAAATGCGTTACCAACAGGAACTCAAAGAATCGGGCTGTCTTTACATTTATGATCAATGAGGTCAAATCTGGCCAGTGGTAGTAGTCACGCTGAGATCTATTGTATACTACCATTGTATCCCTGTTCAAGTTTAGCCAGTCATACTTTTTTTACACGAGGACACCCTCTCTCGAGAAAAATTGAAAGATAGGCAATCAGACCATTCCAAGAACTGTTCTTATATTTGAGTATCATGGGCCACTGACAATAATGTAATTCACTTACTCGGTCCCAGAGATTTATCTTGATGAACTTGATTCTTGGTCGTCCAGTGGAGCTTGAGTGAGATCTGTATCAAGGAGTAGTCTCCAGCAATCCATACCGAAAGAAATATCAGTAGTCCCGCTATCGAGCTTTTGACTTGCGTGCTCTGTTGAGAGAACTACTAGGTACAGATTTTCAGAAAGAGAGGCATCAAGTCACCAGTCATGTATCTTAGTTAATCATTCTACCTCCCTGCCCGCACAAGTCGAAACTGGCAGTAAATCTCAAAAAATGTTCAGAATTCAACAGAAATGGGTTGTAGAGGTTGGGACCGGTTACCCTGACTTATTCTACCAGACAAATCAAACACTTACTATTTGGGAGACTTCTGCCACACTCTATGGTATTTGAACCTCACTTGAAAATCATGGTGAGTACATGTACTCTGAATAGCCAGGCGGGGTTGTCGCTAACCCGGCGCTTAATGCATCTCAAGATGGTTTCGCTTTTCTCAATCCATGAATTAATCTAAGATATTTTAGCATGCTCAGTGAAATGAAACTTCTTTTACTTTCTTTTATCCTGGCTTGCCGTCTTGCTTTCTCTCCCGATGCTTTCTTTTCTATAAAACAGTGTGCTACTTAGACATGGTCGCTAATGACAAACAATGACGGACTAGCTTTCATGCTAGACTAAGCCCGCCTCATGGTATTTACTTGAACTCTTCCCTACCACTTCGTAGTCTCGCTCAAATGACGCCTCGATGAGAGACTAAGTAGCATCTCGACGTCTAACATCCTTTTTCTTGGAGGAAAACAAAAGTCCTCATGTCTTCTCATCCAATCGACGGACATGGGTTAGCGGCGCGTATGTTGGCTTCCAGTTCTCGGCGATTCGCTCTCAAGAGCCTTGAAGCCAGCTTACACCCCTGCATCCCTGTAGTGACGTGGCAGCCAGTCACTCTCGATAAAAAGACCGCTCACCCGTGTTGGAGAATTACATACCCAGCTATACTCATCCTTCAACACCTCCGAGCGACGTCTTCATCCTACTCTCCAACAGACTCATCGTTTTGTCAGTATAAGTTCTAACGATGGACACCGAGTTCGGCGAGTAAGTACCCGATAATGAAAGTTCTGGAATCAACCACGCCCAGCTCACGAATAGCAGAATAATCTCATCCCCACTCTTTACCTTCATCGTTGGCAAAGCAAAGAAGGAAATCACGGTTCATGCCCAGGCTCTGGCCAGCTTATCATCCACACTTGACAAACTGACAAATGGCGAGATGATCGAGGCTAAAACTCGTTGGGTGGACTGGTCGGAGGTCACCGACGAAGCCACCTTCCTGCGGCTATGCGAATATGCGTATGTACGCGACTATACCCCACCGCCGTGCTCGTACAGAGAGGTAAAACCTCTGAGCGTTCCAGTATCGAAGTCTCCAGAACCGGTTGAAGAGCTCTTCGATGTGCCAGCCGAGCCTGAGGCCCCAGCTGCGTCTCCAACACCGCTTGATTCACCAGAACCCACTTATGGTGTGTAATTGCCCAGTGGTTTTTCTCCATTTGCTCCATCACGAGAAGTCTGATAGGCTCAGGAACGACGAGAAGCTGACTACAAGACAATCAGATCTTGGGCATCTTCGAAAGCCACCAGTGAATGCCTCCAACACAGCGATCTTTGACGGTTACATTCTACCGCGCAAGAATCCTAAGAAAATGCGGTGGCTACGTCGCCTGTTTGATTTTGACAAGTTCAAGGAACAGCACTGGCACGATGACTTCAGAGTAAACAAGTATGCTCCCAAGGGGAATTCGCACCCTCGCGAAGACTTTACGGATGTCTTTGTGGGGCATGTGGAGCTCTATATTTTGGCTGACAGGTATGGGGTCCTCCAACTCAAAGAGTTGGTTAAATATAAGCTGGCAGCCACATTAACGCAGTTCACCCTATGCAAACACAATGTCATCGATTTGGTGGAACCGATTCAACTGCTATACCAGAACACTTTGCCCGGTGATGCCTTGCGAGCTTTGATTGTAGGCTATGTCCTCTCGGTGCTTGATCAGATAGGGGCTAGTGCCGATTTTCAAAAGCTATTAGCAGAAGGTGGAGAGTTTGTTCTTGATTTCTGGAAGACATTTTGGAAATTCTAAGGGAAGAGCGCGTTTGCTCTGAAATGCTATTTGATCTTTTTAGGCCACCTATTTCCAAAAATAAAAAGGAAGAAAAGAGGCTTGTTTTTCCGGCCGTCTGTTGTTCCTTGGGTATCTCTGGGTAGATAAAACGCTCCAGCGAATTGTTCTGTTCCTGACCGCTGACTTGTCTTAAGAACGTTCTCGACATGATTATCCGGTGGTGTACTTCGGGTATATTGGTATGAGCGGTGACAATTGACCATTTATGAACACCTTGGAAACGCACTCTCTCTTTCGCATGTACAAATATTTCTCACTATACTGGGAAGCAATGGCCACATCGATGCAATCCCCCCGACTAACTCACGAGGCATGATGACTTTTACTTCAACCAGAGAGGTATTCCGCACCATATCACAGCTTGGCCGACTCACCCTTCCGCAACTTCAGATGGGCGTGCGCGAATGTGTCTGTGACAACTGACGCAGCAGTGCTGAGCTCCAGTCCCAACGCGAAACAGGCGAGAAATCCGGCGAACTGTCTCTTCTTCTCTGGTCCGGCACACTGCATGATCTCTAGAGCTTCACGCTGCGTGTCGTATACCGTGCCCCCACCGACGACACCCACGGGGATGGAGGGAAAGTACATGCTGATGGTGATGCTGTTCCTGGCTCGGTCGTAGAACGAGCTGCCGTGGCTCCACGAGGCATCCGCGACACTCGCGGCGTCCTGGCCGGTGGCGATGAACACGCTGGTCAACACGTTGACGGCGTCAAGGTTGCTTCCGTGGATTCCATTACGGATGCATCCGTCTCGCGCCATATGCAGCACGTCATGCAGGTCGGACGCGGAGCAGCCAAGAGCCTCCTGGCAAGTTTCGTCCGGCAGGCACGCCCACGCCGTGACCTCGACGCCGCGCGGGGTTACCACGTTGCCCCACGAGGGCTTCTTCTCCGAGCTCATCTGCCCGTCGACGTAGAAGCGCTTGATCTTGTACTGCGCCGCATACGTCTCCATCAGCCAGACACAGCACCGCTGGGTGGCGATGCTGACCATGTTCTGGCCCGCGGCATCTCCGCAGGTGTAATTGAACACCACATGGGCGTAGCACCCGATCAGGTGCGGCGTGATACTCACCAGCTTCAGGTGGTTACTGGTCGACTCGGCCACTTCGCTGAGGGTGTTCTCCACGTAGGAGAGAATACCGATGAAATCCTGCGCTTCTCGGGGATTCGCGAACAGGAACGCGGGACCCCGCGACATGCCTTCCCTGCCGAGAATATACTCCACCCCGCCACTGGCGTTCAACGCTTTGCAGCCTCGACTGCAACTGGCGATCAGAGCCGCTTCTGTTGTGGCCATGGGCGCACATATTTTGAAGATTTCACCATCGGGGGTGCGAATGTTCAGGGGCCCCGCGAGGCCGACCGGAACCCGCGTATAGCCGATAAAGTTCTCGATCTGAATCTGCGAGGGTTTGGCGTCGTGGTCGGTGATATGTTTGACATCTTCGAGGTAGGGATGGATCGTCTCGGACATTCGTTTAGAAGGTGGAGCCATGGTGGCCGGTGCTTCCGAATATGTGCTTGGTATGAGTCGATGCTTCATTGTCTCTTTATACTTCTGGTCGGGGACGTGGATCGAGGATAAGCTTTCCCAGAACCGGGAACAGCAGGCTTCTGCACGCCAGCTTCAAGCTTTGCGTCTGTTGGTCATGAATTCGGAGCTTGAGACAATGATAGACCCTGAAACCGGGGGCGACTTCTGGCCGAATCTTGGTAAAGGTGAGGATTAGCAGCAAAGCCTGAATGTCAGTTGCTTTATTGGGATATAGTCAACCGAGTCCCACGGCTGGAATACAATGCCATCGAAGATCATCATGTCTCTGCATTCTTACTGATCTGTCATACGTATGTGTATATGTGTAAACTGACACTGATGCCTGAGGCTGCAGGCAGGCCTGCGCTAAATCGGATCTGACGCCATCGTGCAGATCATCCATGCATGATGCCTACGATGTCACAACCAAGCGGAGCAAAGACCGGCCGATCAAGCATTTCGACCGGTCACTTATTAATAATGAGTGGTCGGGTGCGACCATATTTCCTCTTAGATCAAGTTCATATAAGCCTTCGACCTCGGACTCTGTTGCCTCCTTTTCTCTTCACTCTTACCACCAAACCAAATCCCGCAACATGACCATCGGAATTGCATTCATCGGAGCAGGTAAACACCTTGGAAGTCCACGACCGAACCTCACAGCCCTAACACACCCCACTAGGGCTCTTCGTCAAGGACTACCATCTGGTACGCAGGCCCCACCGACCAAGGCAACAAGAAACTCACCCTCGCAGCCAGGAGTCCAAGCCTCCCCCGACCTCGAACTGAAAGCCGTCTATTCCCGCTCCCTGAAATCAGCTTCCAGCATCGCCCCTGACCAGCAGATCGACCGCTACGCCGACGACGCGCCCCAGGGCCTCGACCAGCTTCTCGCGCGGGGTGACATCCAAGCCGTGATCATCGCGTGCGTCAACTTCCCTCCCAACAATGCACCTCCAACACCACAGACCCAACTAACTCCTGAGTTTCTAAAGCCTCCCTATAACCAACCAAGCCGCATACGTCCGCGCCGCCCTCAGCGCCGGAAAACACGTCTTCTCCGAGAAACCCATCGCCAAGGACCTGGCCGAAGCCACCGCCCTGCTGGACTGGTACCGCTCCACCATCCTGCCCCAGGGGTCTGCTGCTCCAACGTGGTCCGTCGCCGAGAACTACCGCCACTTCGACAGTCTCCGCCAGGGTCGCGCCCAGCTGGCCCGGCTCGGTCGCATCCGCCAGTTTCGGACGCAGGTGTACTTCGATTGTCGGCCGGGGAAGTTTGTTTTCTGGCCTTTCTTCGGTAAGTTTCTCCTTGTTCGTCAGATTTTCCGTTGCTTGAACTATGCTTGGTGTCTGGGATGATGAGTGCTCATGTTCTGGGCTTGAATAGCACTCGCCTGGCGCCAACAGCCCAAGCACCAAGGCGGAGCCGTCCTGGATATCGGGGTGCACCATGTCGCTGCGATGCGGTATCTCCTGGGCGGCAGACCGAGGGAGCGGATCACGCACGTGAGTGCGTTCGTGGGTAGCTTTGCGGACGCGTTGCCGCCGGTGGATACGGTGGATGCGGTGCTGCGCACGGAGTCTGGGGCGCAGGGGACGTTCCAGCTGTCCGGGTGTTCGAGCTTGGAGGAGAGTGGATGGACGGTGGTCGGGGAGAAGGGCCATGTGCGGGTTACTGATGATGAGGTGGCGGTGCATGTGGAGGGGGAGGAGGACGAGAGGCAGACGTTGCCGGTGGACAAATTGGCGGTTGGTAACGAGATCAGGGCGTGGGGGGAGGCGTTGATCTCTGGGGAGATGAAGGCTGAGCAGCGGCCGGAGGAGGCGTTGGCGGATCTGGAAGTGGTATGTTCTCGTTCTCTTGATGCGATAAACAGGTGGTTTGATGATAGTTGACTGACTGACTGGATGTAGATCGAGTTGATTCTGAAGAGTGGCAAGGAGAATGGGGCACCGCAGGTCACAAAGTATCAGTGCTGATCTATGAGATCTTGACCGGGTACAGCGCTTTGCACAACTGCTACTCTCATCTCAGACTAAGTCAGAGTTGTTTCCCGACCTTATACTGACAGCACCAGTCCGTTGACAATCAGTAGTATAACGAGAGTCTGTTATCATGAAGCAAGGCACAATGTTCTTCCGGCACATCTCACACAAGTTACTTACCGTACATGAAGCATCAACAAAATGCATATCTGATGGCCCCAGCTGGCCCACTCAAGCACGCGCCATGCTTCCGGCTGCTGAGCTTATAATGCATACAATTGTCGATCACTTGGATACGATGAGTTTCCTCGCTAGATAACCAATTCTTCACAGATTCGACCCGTCAAAGAATAGGAAATAGTCCCGCTGCATTCGGCTTCTACACGATAGGATAGGGCATCTGAATCCAAAATAAGGAGCCTAGTTATAGATATAAATCGCCAAAGACGGTTGTAATACAAGCGACCTCGTGTCCGACCCAAGTATAACCAAACATACTCCTTGTTCCAAAAACATCCATCGTGGCAGAAAACCTACTCCGCCGTCTGCCTATAAACATCCCAGCGCGCAAGAGCCCCCTACCTAGACCAGCGAAGATCAGTACGATCGAACGGATCAAGCCCCAAAGCGGTTCGGTTCGTATTGACAAATTCCTTGAGCTCCCCAAGTCCGTCATAGTCTGCGGAATTCATCGTCTCAAGTGGTTCGGGGGCATCCGGCTCGGGAGGCATATCAGCCAGATGTGCATTTGGACCAGTAGCTGGGTACCCGCACGAGTTGATTGAAAAGTCTATAAGATGCGGTAATTGGCGAAACTGCGTAAGGACCGCGTGCCAGGTCCCGGAATGCAGTTGTACCAAAGATAACTCGATGTGCTTGAGATTATCTTTGCATTGTTCTATAAGTGCGCGGAAGTGGTCGAACGTGATGAGGACTCGACTGAGGCATAGAGAGGTGAGATGAAGCGCCGGGCTGAAGTGAATAGCGTAGAATGGGAGAATGTCTGTACTGGAGATGGAGAGAGCTTGTAAGTTAGGAGCCAGCTCCACTAGTCTAAGGAGATGGGCTGCGTGTAAGTCATTCGGCAAGGCGGCGTGCGTGGGGAGTACATCGGTTTTCCAGTATCGCTGACCCAACTCCTTGGTATACGCAGTAAGATGCAAAGCCAGAAATTTCAGGCCGTGCAGTAGATCCTTCATGGGTATGTGCAATGGAGTAGAATGGATGGGGAAAAAGTCCCCAAAATCATGGGCTAGGGGAAAGAATAGCTCCAGCCCTTCCAAACAGGGTAAATTCACATATCGCAGGGCAGCAACAACGGCTTCAATGGCAGTTCTTTCGTGATCACGTGTGATAGCAGGCTCTTCGTGGTCGCGTGTCGATAACTGGCATGAAGCTCTGAATTTTAAAACGCGCAAATTAGCTAGTCGGGCAAGACAAGGCGAGAGCAATCCGGCAAGATCCTGGATATCGTGACCGAGTGACGAGCAGGAATTGGAGCCCCATCGGTCGCGCCCAACCTCTAGAAGGTGGACATCTGCAGCATATTTGCTTTCTGAGATTTCGGCAACTCTTTGTAGAAGGTTTCGGTTGCCCCTTGAGGAGCTAAGTGAAGCGATGATGTGTTTGAACATATGACGCGACGCGGAGGCACAGAAATTCCGGCTAACCAAGCGTAAGCTTATAAGGCACGAGCGAGTCTCTCGCTCTAGCGCATGAGGAAAGAGATCGCGAAACGAGTAGTCTTGTTCATCTACCAGTGTTGCTACGTGATCAACGATCTCAGGACCGAGTTAACATATAGCCTGGTGTCGCGCACGGGGGTCATACCATGTCGCAGATCTCGACGGGAATGACTAGTGCCATCTTGTAAATATCACCGCTGGGTTCAGTAACAAAATTATCGAAGGGAGCCTCTGCTGAAGATTGATTCTCTCCTCGTTGTGGTGTAATGAGGGGTCAAATGACCCTGGTCGAGATGAGAGACGTGTACGAACACTTGTATAAGCAATAGCCGCGTAGAGTATCAGCGCATTAGATGCTATACCGCGGCTCATCAGTTAAGAAGTATTGTCAGGCGCTCAATTGTTCTTTAGTCCACACCTGAATTGACCTTTTTCCGTGGCTGGCGGAGTGGAAAGTTTTGAAAGCGTCATCAATGGATCTTCCAAAGCACCCAAGCGAAGATTATAAAGCGTTAGATCAATTAGATTTGGCCTATATGTGTCTAGTAAGATGATCTTTCTTGTAGTGGGTTTGACTATGCTAATACCATCAGATCCATGTGCTCACAGCCCCGCGATCAAGGGATCACGCGGACAAACTGATAAGGAGCGACAGGGTCTGAACTGCGGCTAACTACTTGGTAGGTTATAGAGACAGTATGACTAAAGCTGATTGGAGGAATACATGCTAGGTCTGCATTCGGGCAGACATGTAAACAGGTGCCAGGTGCCTAACCCCGCAAAATGACTCATGCGAGAGTGGGACTCGCGGAGATATAATATGAAGTCGTGACTTCTATTTCTCCGTATGTTAGTTGTGGATCTTTTAGGGATGTTTTCTGTAAGGGTGTGGTTCCTTACACGTACGGATGGAGGTGTAGACTCGGATGCGGGGCATGGGCAGCAGAATGAGGATCATGGAAGTGGTGCGGCTGCGGAGAGGCCTCAGGGCGCAGAGAGCCGGGTATGAATGACAGTTCCATAACAATCTTCTTTGGTTTTCCTTCCAAATTCCATTCTAATAGTGGTACTGCGGAGGGCGGTGATGCAGATGGACATCATCAAAGGTCATCTGCAGTATTTTTGGAAGTTGTCTTGAAGGACGCCGATGGCGATGTAATTATGAAGGATGGCTGTGACTGCAGCGATGGTGGCAGGGGTGACTTCGGGGTGACAGGAGGCGAATCATTTTTTCCAGTTTCTCTGGAAATTTCGATGAAAGAGCTGAATGGTTTTTGAGGTTAATTGGTAAGTGAGAGGGCGCAGGATGCAGAAGCAATGCAATGAGCCGGGTGGAATTAGGTACACGATGCGATCGACAATATTCAGTATAGCTAGGAACGACCTGGTAGGGAATATATGAGCTAGTCGCACCCACATTAGCAAATATACAAAGACCACGAACGGTCGCGAGAAGCCTTCATTTCATATGCTTGCGGAGGATACACGTTGCGTTGCTTGATATACTAATTTATGCGCTGATTCATGCGTTGATTCTTGATTACTGAGGGTATCTAGTTGTATACGGCGAACCAGTTAAGTTATTAGCATCTTGATGAAGCACCATAGCTTGCCGCATTAGGCGATTCGAGCCCCCTCGCAGGGCTCCCTGGGTTGATTGAATTAAATTGTATTGAATTGAATAGAAGAAGTCATCCATGTATATTCATGTAAGAAGAGAGTTACACGCGTGTGCAGGTGTGTATAACAGCCAGAGGGTTTGATGCTCGATGATAATAGTGTCACTTGAACAGAAACTATTCACATATGCGAGTGAGTTTGTATCCTAATGATGTTTCCACCCGTAGTGAGACGAAGACTATCGAGGCTCAGAGGTACAGAAACACAGCCACCAAGGCTTTGGGGCTTGGTAGGCGAGGCTGCAGCTCAGCTGCGCCAGCTGCATGTGCTGCATGTGTGTGTGTGAACTGACAAGGTGATAGTAGTCTTGGCAAGGCGCCAGGCTGCGTCAGCCTTTGTCTGGAACTCAGCTTAAAAAAGGGGAGGATACCCGCTACATCCAATGGGCGAACAGTGTATGCACCTCGTTACCAGTCTTAGGAAGTCATTCGTGTATTTTTCGAAGACCTGTGACATTATCAATATCTATCATGGCTACACCAAGGGCTCTTGAGAGCCCGGACCTGTACAACATCGGCTGGATTACCGCCTTGCCCATCGAGCGAGCCGCATCGACTGCAATGCTTGACGAACGTCATGATAAGCCCCGTGGTTTCGTCCAGCACCCAAGTGACACGAACGCGTACACTTGGGGCAGGATTGGCGAACATTACCTTGTCATCGCCTCGCTTCCTGCAGGCCAAATTGGGACCACTCCCGCCGCGACAACGGCATCGAACCTACTCGCCTCCTTGCCACAGATTCGAGTCGCCTTGCTGGTGGGCATCGGTGGCGGTATCGCGCGGCCAGAGGAGGGAAGGGATATAAGGCTCGGAGACATTGTGGTCAGTCAGCCACAAGGGACAACCGGCGGCGTGGTGCAGTATGACCTGGGGAAGGCGAAGCTCAACAAGGAGTGGGAGCGGAGAGGATTCCTCAGCGCACCACCACCGGTCCTGCTGCATGCATTGGCAGCGATACAGGCCGAATACGAACTCGGGGAGTCAAGGATAGCGGAATTCCTCGACGGCACGCCAAAGCTAAAGAAGGGCGTGAGCGGGTACTCTCACCAAGGCTTTGAGAATGACCGGCTCTTTAAAGCCTCCTTTGATCATACAGGCGCGGCAAATTGCGCCAACTGCAAAGATGAGGAGGTGATAGAACGCATTCAGCGGGATACTACCGATCCAGAAGTTCATTACGGCATCATTGCCTCCGGGAATACCGTGGTGAAGAACGCTCTTATTCGTGACGAGATCGTCCAGGAAGTCGGTGAGGAATGCATGTGTTTTGAAATGGAAGCAGCCGGCCTGATGAATCATTTTCCGTGTCTCGTGATACGGGGAATCTGTGATTATGCTGATTCGCATAAGAACGATCGATGGCAACGCTATGCTTCTGCTACAGCAGCGGCTTATGCAAAAGACCTCCTAGGCTATGTGCCAATTAGAGGGCTTCAGGAAACACCGCGAGCTCTGGATATTCTTAGGTCAGGTGGGTTCACCTAGAGTACGAGCCAACATCTACTGACTACTACCAAGTCCGCCAGAATATCCAGGAGATACACACTATCGCCAGCGAGACAAAGTCGGGAATCAAAAGCCTTCAATCGGACAGCCACCACGCGAAGCTCAAGACGTGGCTCTTGCCCCCTGATGTATCCACCAACCTTACCGACGCACTCAAGTGTCGACAGCAAGGAACTTGCTCCTGGCTCCTCGAAAGCGAAAGATATCGGGAGTGGAAAAGTGGAAAGCGCCAACACCTCTGGCTACATGGGATCCCCGGCTGTGGGAAGACGGTTCTTAGCGCAGCCATAGTCGACGATCTAATGCAACAACTTCAGCCTCCAGATGTAGTCCTCTTCTTTTACTTTGATTTCAAAGAAATCGAGAAGCAGTCACCCAATAAGATGGTTCGCTCGTTGGTTGCACAGCTGTACTCAAGCTGTGTCGACTCTCGCGCGGAGTTGGAGAAGCTCTTCTGTTTCTGCGAGAAGGGCGATCGGCAACCAACAGAAACAGCCCTTCTCTCGACTTTCCTGGAAATGTCAAAACATGCAGGAAGACTTCAAATCGTACTAGATGCCTTGGATGAGTGCTCTATGCGAGGAGATCTACTCAAGTGGCTAGAAACATTGTCTCTTTCCGACCACGAAGGACTCCATCTTCTCGCGACCAGTAGGAAAGAAGAAGAAATTGAATCCGGACTTGGACACTGGCTCGACTGTACAAGCATTATCCTCATACAAAGTCACAGTATCAATCAAGATATCCGCACCTACTTACACGAGACACTGCGGAGTGATCGCGGATTTGACAGGTGGCATCGGCGACCAGAGGTATTGAACGAAATTGAGGCGGAGTTGATGCTAAAGGCCGATGGAATGTAAGATCATCTTCTGCTGTGGGGCTCCTGGAAAGTATAATATCATTGACATGTTCCCCTGAAAACTTCAGGTTTAGATGGGTCGTGTGTCAGATTGACAGTCTGAAACACTGCCTAGATCTTCGAAAGCTTCGACAATCCTTGCGGACACTTCCTGCCACTTTGCAAGAGACTTATGCGCGAATCCTGATTCAGATTCCGGAGAACTATCGCAAGGAGGCAATCCGGATCTTGCAGTTTCTTACTTACTCGGATCGGCCTCTGACAGTATATGAAGTTGTCGATATAATAGTGGTGGAGCCGGATGAAGATCCCCATTTTGATCCCACATTCCGCATGCCGGAGGCTCGAGAGATCATGAGGATTTGTTCAAGTCTTGTCTCTCTCGTAACAAGACAAAAAGGCGAGAGTATAATTGAAGAGCTTCAGCTGGCGCATTTTACCGTTCAGCAATATCTAGAATCCGACGGAGTTGATGGAGCTCTCTCACTGATGACCATTACTGTCGATTCTCCTTGTCGCCTAGGTGGATCAGAGTCTTTCCAAGGATGCATGCGACGAGCCACTGCCAAGGGTGATATGACTAGAGTCTGCCTTGCCTATCTATCCCAAGTGGACGAAGGAAAATCGCTCACGACAATAAAGGAAGAGCTCCCTTTAGCCAAGTACTCGGCAGAATCTTGGACCGGCCATGCAAGACATAGCGAGACAAGACCCGACGTGGAGAAAAGCATTCTAAACTTTTTTCTCCATCAGAGCCAAGCATACACAGTATGGGTTAAGCTCTTCGATCTGGATCAGCCATGGGATGGACCGCTGTGGTGGGCAGATAAGAGGACGGCACCTCCCTTGTACTACGCATCATTAGCCGGTCTTCAACACACAGTCCTTGCGCTGTTGAACAATGGCGCTGAGGCCAATGCTGATGGCGGCGCTTATGGTAACGCACTCCAGGCAGCTTCATCAGTCGGTGAAACACACGTAGTGCGGCTGCTACTGGACCATGGTGCTGATGTTAACGTACAAGGTGGACTTTATGGCAACCCACTACAGGCCGCTTCAATCAGAGGTCACAAGGATATAGTACTGCTGCTGCTGACTCGAGGCGCTGAGATCTATTCGCAAGGAGGTCTCTACAGCGACGCACTTTATGCCTCGGCAGCTGAAGGGCATGAGGAGATCGTGCGGCTTCTTATTGATCACGGTGCAAATGTCAATGCCCGAGGTCGCATTAATGTGAATACAGTCACAAAAGCCCCTTTTGCTGATAACAAGGATCTTGTGCAGCAACTGATTGCTCAAGGTATAAAAGCTAGCAGACCTCAAACTAGCACAGTCCGATCCCGTTCTTTCAAACATTGGGGGAAGATGATTGAGGTATTTGTGGATGAGAATGGAAAGGCCTTGGTAATGAATAGCATCTACGGGAATGCAATTCATGCCGCTTCCATACAATCGCGTTTGCAGATGATCTCACTTTTTGATCGACTCCGTCATCCGACCACGTATTCAGACATTACATTCAACAGTCTAGACGGGTCAACACCAGTGGCCATCGCGTCATTCGGCGGCCATGTCGGAGTGGTTCAGCTCCTTGTTGAGAGAGGCGCAGATACCAATATAGCAGCGAACGATGGCACGACTCCTCTGCTCCTGGCAACTCCGGAGAGTAAATTTGAGATTATAGAAATCTTAGTGAAACAAAACGCGCAGGTCGGTGTTGGGCCAAATATGGACTGCTCGCCGATGCACCTAGCTGCAGGGCTCGGGCGTACTGATGTTGTCAAGCTCTTTATTCAGAGCGGTGCTGACCCCGACCAAAAAATGCGTGGCGGACAAACACCACTACATTTAGCGTGCAGCAAAGGTCAACTTGACTCCGCTAAGCTGCTTATCGCAAATGGTGCAAATTTTGATTCTGCAGATGAGATTGGATGTACCCCACTTCATCTAGCAACCCAGGATGGCTGTGTTGATATTATCAAACTGCTGATTGCAAACGGCGCGAATTGCGACCCTGCAGCTACAAATGGGATAACACCACTTTATATTGCAGTACATCAAGGCTTTGTTGATATTGTCAAACTGCTGATTGAAAACGGCGCGAATTGCGATCCTGCAGATACAAATGGGGCAACGCCACTTCGTCTTGCAACACAAAAAGGCTTTTTTGATATTGTCAGACTTCTGATTGAAAACGGCGCAAATTGCGATCCTTCAGATACAAATGAGGCAACGCCACTTCATGTTGCAATACAAGAAGGCTTCCTTGATATTGTCAGACTTCTGATTGAAAACGGTGCAAATTGTGATTCTGCAATGAAAGGTGGACATACACCACTTGACATTGCGATACACAAAGGCTTTCTTGATGCTGTCAGGATCTTGACTAAAAACGGCGCTGGATGCAACACTGCGAGTTGTAACGGGCGCGCACCACTGCATTGTGCATCTCGGAATGGTTACTTGGAAATTGTTAGAGTTCTGATTGAAAATGGTGCTGACTGCAATAATGCAAGTAATCAAGGGGGTAGACCACTTGATTATGCATCTTGGAGTGGTCACTCGGAGATTGTTAGACTCCTGATTGAAAACGGTGCTGACTGCAATAGTATGAACTGTGATGGGTGGAGCCCACTTTATTTCGCATGTCAGAATGGTCACTTGGAGACTGTTAGACTCTTGATCGACAGTGGGGCAGTTTGTAGATCTATGGTCGACATTGCACCGCCGCCGCTTCACCTTGCCTCACAGAATAGCCACCTGGAAGTTGCCAGTTTTCTTCTTACACGCGGAGCACAGATCAATGCTAGGGATAAGGACGGATACACAGCTTTGTATGTCGCTTCTGCCCGAGGAGACATCAACATGGTTCATCTATTTGTCGACAGAGGTGCCGATTTAAATATCGCCAGCAGTAATGGACGTAGTCCATTATATATCGCATTTGAAGCTGGCTACACTCAAACTGCTGAGCTTTTGATTCAATCGGCGGCTGACATTGAGCTCAAAGACAACAATGGTTGGTCCCCATTGACCCTAACTTCATTCAAAGGCGACCTTGAGGGAGTTCGGCTACTTCTCACGCAGGGAGCCTACATAAATGTGAGAAGTGATCATGGGGATACACCACTGTTCGCTGCCTCTTCAAGTGGGCATATTGATGTAGTCCGCCTTCTTCTTGCACGAGGCGCAGACATCAATACTACCGGTTCGAACGGATGCAGTCCGTTATACATTGCATTTGAATTTGGCCATACCCAAATTGGTCAGCTCTTACTCCAATCGTCAGCCGACTTTGAACTCAAAAACAACGACGGCTGGACACCATTGACCCTGGTTTCATTCAAGGGAAACATTGAGGGAGTTCAACTGCTTCTCGATCAGGGAGCAGAAATCAATGTGAGAAGTAACGACGGGCGTACACCACTGTATGTCGCCTCTTCTATGGGACATGTGGATGTGGTACTCTTACTCCTTGAAAGAGGCGCGGACGTTACGCTGGCGAACGATCGCGGTCACAATCCTGCTACAATAGCTTCATCAAAGGGTCATGACAGTGTCGTTCAGCTACTTCGTCTGTGTGGTGCCGATGCTTGACGCTGCAGACATTACGCTTAAAGCAAATAGCGGTTAGTACAACCGGTGACATGCAAGCGAGTCTAGATATGCGACGCAAGCAGCGCCGCCACCCTGACGGTGTTCTTGGTCTGCCGTCCGTTGATCGTAACCAGCGCCAGACGCCGGACCTCCTCATCGGTCAACGCATGCTGGCACTTGGACCGAGTCAGACACCGTCGCCAAATCTGCTCCCTCGCAGCCCCATCCAGGTCGGGATAGTGTAGGGTGAGATGAATCCGACTCTGAAAGGCTCCATCGATCGCGTCCGCGCGGTTGGAGGTCATGATCATGATCCCGCGGTAGTATTCCAAGCAGCTAGACGACAATTATACTCCGTCGGTATGTCCCCCGACCCGAGAGCTCGAGGTCTAGTACGGGAAATGTAGAAGCAAAACTCACCGAAGAAAAACAGCCACCACCTCGTTATGCTGCATCTGGTTCCCCGACCACTCCTGCAGAAACACATCACACTCATCGAACAGCAGCACCGCATCCCATCTCTCCGTGAGCTCCAGCACTGTGCTCAGCCGGCGCTCGACACCCTCCGCCTGCTGGCCTAGCTCGCCCGCGCTCAGAGCATACAGAGGCTTGCGCACTTGATCAGCAATGGCCTCGGCGGTGGGGGTCTTCCCTGTCCCCGGGTTACCGACCAGGAGCATGATGATCCCTTGCCCTTTGCCCTCGATGACGTCGTCCAAGACGTCCCTGTGCGCCGCTTGACCCTCAACGAAGGAGAGGACAAGATCTTTGTAGGTGTGTGTGGAAGCATCAACGTCGAGAACGCGGTGTCATTCCACACGATGGGAGTGATGTCGGTGACGTTGAAGGTAGCCCAGACTTTGTGCTGGAGGGAGTAGCCGAGCACGCGGGGTTCACAGATGTGAAGGTCCGCCTTAGTCAGGTCTTTGTTTTGATCTTCTGAGCAAGTCAATGAAATCAGTGTACCCCGACCTATATCCGTGGTGAGGGTTGAAGGTGACTCACCAGCTTCCGGACCTGCAACATGACCTAGTCTTGCAGAGAAGCCCCTGGGACCGTCATAACACTCGGGTGTGATGCAGCACCCTTGGGGTGCAAGTGTTTGAAAGGTAGACGGATTGAGGGGTCTCTCTACATGCTTGTCATCGGCCACCGCAATCCTGGGCGCCGTCAACCCCGCATCCAGAGGCTCGAGGGAAACACCCTTGGTGGGATTGGCGTGCAGATACCCGTCCGCGTCGACGACGATACGCCCGTCCATCTAATCCAGACGACGAGAACCAGATTAGCTAGTCAAGCCGCACTCCCTAGGACAGACACCAACAACCTACATATCTCTGAAACTGGCTACTCGCGTTCCCGTACTGAATTACCCCAGAGTAAGCCATGTAGTGCCGCCCCGCGAGCTCACGAAACCGTCTCCTGCGCGCAATCGCCTTGCTCTCCGCCTCCTCCTAGGTTGGATGAAAGACCACCGAATACACAGGCAGCCCTCGAATCTCGCGCGTGCCGGAGAACCGATCCAGGCGGAACTTCCGATGGCGGTACCTGAAGCGAGTGCCGTTCTAGTCGACCGAGCGCGCGGCTATCTGGAAGTAGGCCTGCTCTTTTGGGCCGTAGTAGTCCGGGCTGTCCACTCGACAAAACGTTTCTTCGTACTCGTTGTCACGGGTCACCGGGGTCGAAGAGCGCCCACAGCAGCGGGTAGGCAATGACGTGCTGGGCCAGGAGGCTGTACATCTCGGCGCGGAGTCCAGTATCTCGTACAGCAAGTGTGCGAAACCGGCGGCGACGGGGTCGTCGTGCCGCTGGCGCTCGAGAATCGCGGTGAATGCGTCCCAGCGGTAGATGAAGGCGTGGAGCGGGGCCCGGAAGACGAGTTTCGGCTGGTGCTGCTGCTGCTGCATTGCGGCCGTGGTTATGCCTTGGTAGCCGGCGAAGACCTCGGTGAGCGTTTGCTGTAAGGCGCGGCTCTGGACGACGATCGAGTGCAGCGTGAGCGGTCGGACCACTGCGTCGTCATTGTGGTTCTTGCTCATGCGCACGACGAGGGCCGTTCGGTTGATGATGCCTTCGGAGTCTGCTTCAGGTACGGGACGGAGATGGGCGGGGGCTGTCTCGACCCAGTTCCTGCAGCAGATGCATCTGGGTTCGCCTTCGTAGAGGATCTGGATGGCGCATTCGGTGTCTTCGATGCGTTGTTCCATGGGTGAAGAGGGAACTGGCCTGGGGGCTCGTGAAGCATGTTGATGATATGGTGTTTTGGTCTGAGAAAGACACGATAGATGCTGTTGGGGTGTTACTCTGATCGTGTTTGGAGGCTGAATGAATGTGGGGTTGTAATCTAGGAGCTGATTTTGGTTTCGTATACCGTGTCATCGTGCTAGGAACGGGACAGTGAATGCGTGCTGTTTACTATTTTCCTTCTCCAGTTGATGCTCTCCAGCCTCAGCCTTCCGCGTTCTGTACACGACTCTGAGGCTCATCTTTACCTGCTCTGAAACCTGCTGTCCCTTCCTTACATATCGTGTGCGACCAAGAGTGGTTTCCCAGTTGCGCAGACTGTCGGGAAAGAGCTTACATTTACCGAAGCAAGCAAGTCTGGCATCTGACCCCTGCTGGGTTACAACGATCGGGTGATTGTGTACCACGGATTCAGCAGGCTGAGCAACAGTTGAACGCATGGAATTAGGTTAAGAAACTCAGGGTGACATGCAGCAAACCATCAACAACCTCTTGAAACAGGTTGATAAAGGAAGAAATCGTGTTGTACAACACCAGGTCTATCCTTCAATGCGAACCCTGTCTTCGATTCTGATTCCTTTTCAGCCGGTATTCATTTTCTCCATCTTTGCATACGGTGCAGCTAGTATGTATCTATCCCAACTGCCTCGGTGCTGTCTGACGGTTCTCCATCCCCGTTCGCAGCGGAATGGCGAATGCAGTCGAAAGTCTCTTGCGGGACAACCGCGGTCTCTTCCAGTCGATGTCGAAAACTGTCACTGTCTAGGATACCTGCTGCGTCTTCTCCCATCGTGGCCGTATACATCGAATTCATCACGCCGTCGACGTAAGCAAAGAGAAGAGCCCAAGAGGCGCTTGGCTTCTGCTCGTCATCGGCCATACCCGAGGCCGACACGCTCCTACTGCTCTCCTCGATGAACGTGTCGCCAGGGGAAATATATCTCGAGGGCCTTGGCCCCAACATTCCTCGCTTCGATAGATAATTGATAACTAGATTCAATGCTACTCAATGTTCAGTAATGGCTTGCTACCCACGGCCAGGTGGACTTCCCGTTATCTTAAATAGCCCGCATATTTCCCGGGTGCAAGATTTCTCTGACATGCGGGGACCACATGGCTCCGGGTGTGGGGGCTCTGAATGCGGTCACACTCGGGGATCGGCGGTTATCTACTCACATCTCTTCTGCCACCTTGTCTGATGACGATAATTCATAAGATAAGCTACGGCTACTAAGTTGCCGAATGTCGCCAGGCCCAGTTCTCAGGAGCGATATGATACTGGCGTCGTCCCGACCTCCTCTTCCCTAAGCATAATTCCAGGCAAGGACGTATCCATCTCAAGCCAGCATCATCGTCGTCGTCGTCGTCGCCGTCATAATATTGCCCCCCGCAATGGGACACCTTCGAAACAAGAAAGGCCTGAAAGAGAGTAAGTTCAATATAACGTCGAACCCCCCTGGCATTGTGTCACTGCTGACTGGACGCAAGGATCCTCAAGGACGGCGCTTCCTCGAGATGGATTCGGGAAATTCCTGAACAGCAGGTTGGAGGCCGAAGGGGGTCGTCACATATCGGAGGCCGAATTCAGTAAGTGGTCAGGAATAGAGACTGATTCTCAACATAGGGTCAATCATCGTGGCTCCTTGTTCTGGGCTCGTGCTTATGCATTTCAGACGAGCTATACATGCAATGCGCGGCGACGTGGGCTAGTGCGTCCCCACGTCTGAGGAGCCACTACGAGAGGCAGGCTGGTGCTGAGAATCGGCTTCTAGACAGGGGGAGAAGAGACTCGGGATATTTCACGGGTGAGGAAGAGTAGATGAGACCTGTTGGATCTGTTGGTTGAAATGGCTGTGACCGTTGCCTGCCTACGTAGGGCGGCAGTGCGGTGACTCCGGAGGTGACCATTGGGTTAGCTGGCAGTCGATGTGATTTATTTATCAACACTCATTTTGAGTGCATATACATGGAAAGCATGTTGTATCTAGACATATCTCATCTGACATTTGTTAAGCGTAACAGACAGCGCCGTGGCCTACTGGTCTCCAATTCCAAATGACACGCGAGTATGGTGAGAATCAGCAGGGTGAAGTGTGAGCTTGATCAGATCAAAGAATACAGTATCTCCACTGTCTGTTCACATGTAGAGACGCGCATAGACTGTGAAGCGGCGAAACGTTCGAGGCAGCGCTGAGGACAAATGGGGACTGCTGTGCAAAGGATATATAGGGAAAGTTCGGGGTATGCCCTAAGCGTGTGTCTTGAGGGGGGAAGAAGATAGCCTGTATGCCCCGTCGAAAATAATGAGTCTGTTGTCTGGATCTATCAGGCAGTTATGGTCATTAACCCCGGGGAATCCGGGGATGACTGCCGACAAATGGGAGGGGGGACCATGCGCCACATCGTTTGACAAGATCCGACAAGGTTGAGGGTGGTTTCAGTCTGTTATCGCCGAGTAAAACCTTCGAAACAACCCATTTCCGGTCAGCGTTCAGACCACAGGCAAACCGACAGCAGTTAAGCTAAGTCGATCACAGCCAATTTATCTCCATCCCCACCGATCGACCTCCCTAGATCATCCAAAATGCAGATGATTACCGTAGATGCACGTCATGCCTCCATTGATGATCCGGCAACTAGAATGTAGGTGAGAGCGGCCCGCGCGGAGAGCACCGTAGTCAATGTGATGTATCACGAACTCTGTTACGCCCAATATCCGAGCGCATCGTATGTTGTGGGGCCTGGGCGGGAGGATCTGGATCTGTCTTATCGGGCGAATCCCGAGGAGCGGATATATCAGATTCTACCCCTCAACGTTGCATGGTGCTGCATGTGATTTGTATCGTTGCTTTGTTGTGGCGAGGGAGCAAAAAACAAAATGGGGGGTATGAGGGTGTGCTAATACCTCGATGGGATTGCAAGTCCAAAATATGGGTATGCTGTTCGATGAGTTACCGAGGATCTCTGATCATACAGTGGAAAACGAAAGGAGTCTAGTTTATATGCATCTAGATGGTAGAATATACATCATTCACAAAGGAAATAAGAGACGGCAGCTGTGGTCCAAACCCACATCACCGCGGCAGATCAAATGAAGGCGACGACCGCAGATACACCGGACTGACCTCGACATTGGTCTCGATCTCCGTCTGGGCCATGATCTTGCCCGCCGGGATGACGATTCGGTCCTCGCTGCCGTTTCGCTCGATCTGGGTGCCGGCGATGGTCTCCGTCTCGCCACAGTGGCTTTGCAGCACACTCATCCCGAACTCCGGCGCCCGTGGCTTAGAGAAGCCCGACCCGTACCGCTTGGCGGCGTTGTTGTTGCTGCTTGACCAGCCGCCGTAGCCCTTGTTCGAAGAATATTCCCCGATCCAGCGCGGCAGGAAGCGCGAGGCAATCGCCTTGAAGGAGGGGATGGAGGCCGCGAGGATGCCGACGTTGATCTCGATGGCGGACCAGTACATCGCGCCGCTAATGGCGTAGGTGGAGTCGGCGGAGGAGAGCATGGTGGGGATGTAGGTGATGCGGATGATGGAGGAGACGCAGGCGCTGTAGATGGGAGAGTTAGCGGATTGCGTCTTGCTGGTGATGGATCTTTGTGGTAACGTACAAAAGACCCAGGCAGAGAATGCATCCCAGGGCCAGTTTTTGTTTGTAGGGCATGTGAAGGTGGAGGATCACCCGGACGGGAAGGGTGTAGGTCAACAGGTCGGTGAGGATGTTGAGGGCCGCGTTGCAGAGGTAGAAGACGTTGATGGTGACGCAGTGGCCGGGGATGGTGCTATTCCACGCCTTGGGGATCGGATTGCATTGGAAAGCTGCTGTCAAGACGAAAGCCGTCGCTTGACATCCCACCACGCACATCATCCCCAGCGATAGCCGGGTCAAGGTTTTATCGCCTAGTCGAGTGTAGAAATAGCAGACCGAGGTCTTGATGAAGCCGAGACAGGCGAGGTAGAACATCGAACTGAGCCAAACAACCTGTGAAGTAATTGCATTATTAGTTGGGATGTCGAGGGCTGAGGGTGAAGAAAGCGTACAAAGGCGTAGGTGATGAGACCGTGCGCGTCGACATCATCCATATGTTTGCCCATCCCATGTTTAACGGCTGGTAATAATTAGTATCATCAAACTCCAACCTGAAGTACAGTCCAGTACAAACCAACGATTGTCACAGCCGTGAAGGCCCATGAAAGAAGCTAAAGCCGTCAGCGACACTCACATCAATCATTGCGGGCTATCTTACACAAGCAACCACAATCAAGTCTGAGAAGGTATCAGTCAGCCAAAATTCTCCGATCCCCTCTCAGGTAGAGACTCACAGTCATCCAGGCCCATGCTCTTCAACACATAAAGCCGGGCAAACAAGCGCAAAGAAAGAACGATGAATGTCAGCACGGCAAAGGCGATGGCCACGCCCGCCACGACGGGGCCCTGCGTCTTGGCCATGTCCGGAAAGCAATATCAAAGCAGCGAGTGAAAAGGAAAGAAAGAATCCTCCGATCCAAAATTGGCTCTGGCCGAGTGACGTGCCTTTCTTTATGTAGCTGGAAGCGACATTCGGGGCGCGCACCGACCTGAAATTGACGATTAGGTTCGGTTTGTTGATCTTGCAGGTTACGAGTCGCTTTGCTGGGATAACCCTAGCTCGCCCTTTTCTTTTTTCCCCTAATCCTCACATTGGGACGGATTGCACACCCTTGGCATACCGGTACAGCTCGAGTCGATTGATGACCAGTGGCGTTTCCCCAAACAGGGAATCAGGAGCGAAGAAAATCCCTTTCGAGGCTTTCCCCAAACTTTGGGTTGACAGTTCTGGAAAGGAGGTGGAAAGACTGCCGATTGGGAGGGTCCCTGAGTACGAGCGCATTCGCTCGATAGGGACTAGCAGGCTACAGCTTTGGTCCGCGTATGTGTCGACCAAAGGTGAGAATTGCATCTGACACAGCGCCTGCGTCCAGCGGATCATGGATAGCTCGCAGAAGGGCTTCTTTGACATAATTTGGGCCAATGCGTGACAAGAATAGCAGTTCTGGCCGGATCGGCGGCGGCGCGGGTCATCGTTCCGGACGGGGGAGAAATGAAGCCCGCCGATCGCGATGCCACTGTGGACTGCTGTGGCATTGACAGTTGACCGAGACCCCTTGCGGGCCAGGCGTTCTATCCGTTCTATCCTGCTGGAGGGTGCTGTACATCGTTAGAGATGTCCCAGCTGTTTCTTTTTGCACAGGCACGATGCCATTATTCTTCGCAAGCAAACCATTCACCCTTCCATGCCAGGCAATCTACTCCGTAGTCTCCTCGACTATTGGAAAAAGAGTCATAAGGCAGCAGAGTTTGGTAGGAACTATATTCCGACGCCGGTGATTGTCTTAAACGACCGGCGTCTGACTTGAAAGGGGACAATCCGACGCATTCTCTGCAACTGGCTTAGGGCATGGCAGCCACCAACAGCAGATTGGCGGGGGAACCGGCGGTGGCGCTCTGGCATCGCGATTATCCAGAGTCCCAGACCCACCCACGCAAGGAAGGCTCGAAATGGAGACTGCGAGTCGATGATGGTGGGAGGACTCAAGACTTTACCAAGCGGCCAGGATTCAGCCCTGGTCGATTCTTGCGCGTAGTCGTCGACTCATGCCTGTCCTGTCGAGAAAACATCGGCTCAGAAGCCTCTCCGATTTGTGATCATCTCACATAACTAGTATATTAAGGGGGTGATTGAGTGCTGACACGATTTCACGTGTGAGGCTGTCGAGAAGGAAGACACGAGTTGTTTTTCTCCAACAACTTTTCCTGGTAAGTTATGGAGCAGTTCGTGAGAAATCATAAATGCCCCCCGAAGACGGCAGAACGGCAGAGGCTGGCTGGTGCGGGAATCGCCATCTGCCACCCCTCTTTCGGGTGGATTCGACCGACCCATTGGCATTATCGTCCCCAATTCTCCATCTTCTGTCAGGCTTTGAGTTTGAAGCCTGAAGCCTTGAAATCTGGAGGGTGAGAGGCCGTTTTCTGGGTGGGGATAGCAGATTGGTAACAACTAACCCCCTCGAATATCATCCGTGGCAATCGGCCAACCGGACGCTCTTTCCTCCTTGCGAGGCAACCGACACAGACACTATTCGCGAGGCAAGCTGTCAAAAGTACGCAAAGCGCCAATCTGGCACTCACTGGAGTCACTCAATCAGTGGTTCAGTGCAAATGACGAGCGAAGGAATGCCGATCGGATGACGGCGCGCGCATTAGCGGCGTTTAGTGTCTTTTAGCGGGCTTTGGTGGCCGCGAAGCGACTTTTGCGCGGTGGATCCCAATTTGAAGCGCTCGATGCGATAGGTCACCTCCCACACGGAGGGGCATCACTTATAACCCTATTGTCTCGCTCGAATAATTAAAGGGGAAAAGACCGTCCTCCTCCGCGGGTCGGTTATGGAGCCGGTTATGACTTTCCAACCAGCATGCCATGTTTTCCACCCACTCCAACTCGACAGGGAAGATGCCTGTTCTTCGAGCCAACTTTGATTCTTTTGACAGCTGTCAAGTGGTTCTTGGACAATACCAACAAACACAGACCGTTGACCGTTAGACTTACATATAAGGTGCTGAATAAGATGTGAAGTCGTTCTCTGCCCTGGATCATTGTGGTGTAGCAGGCATGGATTGGGGCACGGGGCGCCGTTGAACCCTAAGCTTCGTATATGAGCTGCGGTGCGCCTGGCAGCCTGTCAGCCTGTCAGGGCCCATTGACACCCACCATCTCGAGCTGTTCAACCCCTCCTCCTCCCACTCCCCGCACCAACGGTGCTCCAGCCCGGATGGCCTGCCCATTTGATTCTAGGTCCTCCCCGAAACAGGCTTGACAATCTCCGTGGCTCGGCTGAGGGGACGCTTGGAGGCCTTTGTCGGTGGTCGGCACGGGGGCCGGACTGCACGTTGTCCACTGCGCCAGCTCGTGCCAATGAGATGCAAATTGTTTATGCACGACGACAATGATTTGCCCTCTTACCCACACCGGATCATCTCTAGTTGAGGCCCCTTACTGGACGACCGATCAGCAGGAGGGACAAAGGATAGTGCTTGGTCGGTGTGAGGTCAGGCAACGGTCGCATTCTTAAGAGCCTGCCTCTCCAGCACCTGCGACTCGCATGCCTCATTCAACCGACAGCCATGGGTCTGGAGAACGTTTTGTCGCAGCTTACCCTGGCCCGGGTGGCCGGGGGTCTGCTTGCCTATGTCGTGCTGCAGTTCGTCTACCAGATCATCTACTACCGCTTCTTCCATCCGCTCGCCAAGTTCCCCGGGCCCTTCTGGGGCAGCGTCACTCGCCTTTGGATCGCATGGCACAACCTGCGTGAAACGGAGCTGCAGACCTGCTCTGAGTTGACGAAGAAATATGGTACCACTTCGACCCCGTCGATCGAGAGAAAAGTTACCCAAGGCAGCACATCTAAAGCTGACATCCGTCCCCCTCAGGCCCCGTTGTCCGCATCACCCCGACACTGCTGCTGGTCAGCGACCCGACAAAGCTGCCGGACATCTACCACCGTCAGGCTGACAAGACCGGCCACTACATCACGGGCTCCTTCGGGGAGACCGAGTCGCTGTTCAACATGCGCTCGCACAAGACGCACTCCTCGTTCCGCAAGCACATTGCCGGCCCGGTACGCTTCCCTGCCGCTTTCCCGCGCGGAATCCCGACTGACGCCCGCTCCAGTATAGCTTCAGCAACGTGAAGAAGATGGAGCCGTTGATCGACCTCCGCTTGCAAGAGTGGCTGGACAAGCTGGACGAGAAGTTCGCCAGCACGGGGACAGTCTTTGACTTTGCCTGGTGGGCCGTGTACGTTGCCCTCAACCCTGCCCTATACCGTTCTCTCTTCCACCTAAACACACTCCCCACCTGTCTAGCCTCTCACTAACTCGAATTGAACAGCTACATGGCCTACGACATCATCAGCGAAGTCGGCTTCGGCGCCCCCTTCGGTTTCGTCTCCCAAGCCCACGACGTCGGCGGCCTAATCCAAGGCTTCCACGACGGGCTACCGGCCTTCGGTCTTCTCGCGCGCCTGCACCCCTTCACTAGCTGGGTGAAAACAACCTTCCTGAAAAAGTACCTCGTGGCGACCCCCTCCGACCCGTCGGGGGTGGGCGTGCTCATGCGCTTCCGCGACACACTCATCGACCAGCGCCTACGCGACCTGGCGGAGAACAAGGACATCGGACGGGTCGACCTGCTGCAGACCTTCCTTGAGGCGCGCACGGAGGACAACCAACCGCTGGACATGGAGTACATCAAAGCGGAAGTGCTGCTCGTGCTGCTGGCGGGGGCCGACACAACGGGCACCGTCTTCCAGGCGCTGGTGCACAACCTCCTCACCCACAAGGCCGTGTACGCGCGCATGATGACCGAGATCGACGCCGCGGTCGCCCGGGGCGTGTTTGCGGACGGCCAAACCCCGCAATATGCCGATATCCTCGACCACCTCCCCTACTACGTGGCCTGCGTCCGCGAGACGATCCGGTTGAATCCCCCCGCGCCGAATATCTTTCCGCGCTACGTGGCGGAGCCTGGGATCGAGCTGTACGGGAAGTTTGTGCCGGCTGGGACGGAGATCTCGGGGAATCCGTGGATCATGCACCGCGATCAGAAGGTGTTTGGGGAGGATGCGGAGGTGTTTAGGCCGGAGCGGTGGTTGGATGCGGAGAAGGCGAAGGTGTTGAATAAGTATATCTTTACCTTTGGGTATGGGGCCCGCGTGTGTTTGGGACGGGATATCGCGATGATGGAGTTGTTTAAGGGGCCTTTGCAGGTATGTTTCCCTCTTTTCTTGGCTTAGTTGGTGATCACCAACTGACTGTTGGTTGTTGGGTCTAGTTCTTCCGGTATTATACCCCCCATGTCGTCAAGGACAAGCCGTCGGCCAAGTTTGTGATTCAGGGAGGGGTGGGCCATTGGGAGGATATGTGGTTGACGATTGAGAGGCGGGAAAAGGCGTGAAGTGCTTAGAGAGGGAGACGCACTTTATTAGATGTGTAGAGTGATGACGCTTGGGACAATATGATGAGGTGTATGACCTACACACTTTTTATTGCACAATCTTGAAAGAGCAGAGCCTGAGAACATTGAGGCCACCTGCGAGTATAATAGCACTCGTATCACTTTTACTGGACTTGACTGTCTTCAGCATCACCGCTTGAATGGAGCTTTAGACATGAGAACCACAACTCGTTCTTGGAAGGTGAGATCTAGGGACCCCTGCCGGGTAACCTATGTTATGTTCCTGGTGAAGGCAACAGTCAACCGACAGCCAAGTTCGGAGATTTCTCTTCGAGTAGTGCGTGTCGAACCTACTGGATCAGTATCTTCTGTTAGAATCATATCCCCAAACTCGCAAGTGATGTGTTCGTTCTGTCAAGACTACTATTACAGATCCAGTCAGATGACGTTACCAGCGCGAGCAATGCACTTCAAGTCCCACAAATCTGCCCCATGGTTGCATTTAGTATCAAGAATCTATGCTATTTACACCACGAAGCGCTTCTTATGCTCTATGATCTGGAAGTTAGGA